GCCTATTATGTATTTTTATTAAACACATGTCAACTCAATAAGTATCGACGTAACAACGAAAGGAGTACCACCAAAGGGTCATTCTAAAGGTATCGACGTAACAACGAACATAGTACCACCAAAGCGTCATTCCAGCATATTAGGAAGTTTCAGCATACATAAACCATATCCCATTTACTAATAAACAAGTATCCACATAATTACATAGTTCCCTAAGGAATACACATTCAATGGTTGAACATAAGTTGAATGTCTTAACTTGAACTGAATGTCCTTACTTGAATTGAATGGTTTTGCTACAAAATATAAAAATGACAATCATAAGACACAACTCACAATTATAAGAATCCACAGGCATTCGTAGCAAAATACAGAATCTGAACTAACATAATTATACCAATTTGCAAAATGTCAACACTAATAGACAGTCTTAACTTCTGACAACAATATGCACATGATAACATAATGAAATTGTAACCTTATCTTAAAATTAATAGTTCTTACAGACAACTTAGACTTCAGAAATTCAAGCAATGCACGTGGTAATGAAACGGATGCCTTTGGACTACTGTCAGTAAAATTGAAAATTCCTTTGAAGTACATTTGAGAGCAAATTCTCAATAATTACACATGACATCCAGCAGAAAATGTCTACAGAACATAATTAAAGAATTCCTTATTAGAATATACATAAATAAATTGAAAACTTACAACTTGTGAGGAACTATGGTCGAAAATAAAAATATCAAAAAGTTTAGTCTAACTTCCTAAGATGGCGGCAAACAAAACTAGCTCAAGGCCGTGTGCACAATTTGACCTTTGACATGTGATCTGCGACCTAGCTACAATAAAACCTTAGAAATCAGGCCATATATAAACAAGTAATTTTTAAGACACAAAAATGCAATTAAACAAAAGAAAATGACGATTCTGCCGTAACACAGATATAGATTTGATACGTTTATTGGCACGTCAAAATTGTCAAAAATGGGTTCTCTTTGGCCTTTATTTCTTCAAATTTAAAAAAAAGTACCAAATCTGAGCCAGGCGACGGGGCTGCTATGCTTACCGCTATAGTAGGCCCTCTATTTTGTAAGCAATTAATTTCTTTAGAATTGCGGGGTCTATTAATTGCTTTAGCCTTTATTAATGAGCTATTTTTGGTAACTGGTATCATATGCCTTATGCATAGATCTAGGCCTCTATAAAATGTTTTCAAGACAAGAAACTAGAACTAGAAGAACCCCCTCGGTTACTGTATTAATATACTATAATAGTATATATATAGGCTACTATATAGCCTATTATTTTTTTTAGGAGGAGCGGCATAGGCTAATACGGGTTGGGTTTAATCAAAACAATAAATAAACCCACCCTATCTGACTAAGCCTGACTTTCAAAATATAGTTTATTGATTTATTTGGCTGTCACATAAAAATTCTACTATTTTATCTACTTTTGAGTAATTTTATGTTGATTAGTAATGAACGCGTAATTACATCCGGGCTTTTATTCAGGAAGTTCTAGGTTTGAGCATGCGTAGTTCGTCTTGAGCAACCAACTGATGGTCCAAGTAAATAATGGCGGTGTTAAGGACGAGATGAATTGGAAAACAATCCCCAACATCCAGCCCTTTTGACGTATAACAAATGTCGATCGAGTAGATCGATCAGTAGAAAAATTATTCAACTTTCAGATGATATTATAATTTATACGTTAAGTGCTATCTGGTTAGTTTTATTTTGACGATATTTATGTTGACCCGTATTGTTCTATTTGTTTACGACTTAGAACTGTCAGACGACCATTGTGCAAAATATTTCTTGTTTTGGTGTTTTAGGAAAGATGGAGCTTCGGGTCGGAAATAAATACAGACTTGGTAGAAAGATTGGAAGTGGTTCTTTTGGAGATATTTACTTGGGTAAGGATTTATTTTCGATCAATATTTTATGTTGATTGATCTTGTCAAACTTGATTTTGACAGTTCACCAAATATGGACGACATAATAATAATACTTGGGTCTGTAAAAACTTAAAACTCTGCTTGTCTGTGCATCTGATCATGCTGATTTAATACAAATTATTTAACAGTTTGTGCCAAGAGACCCAAGTTTTTCAAAGGATAGTAACATAACACTAATTTTTACTCCCTTTTCACCTCTCTTCTTCTGCCTTTGCCTCTGTTGAAATGATCATGAAACTGGCCTAGACATGAGCTTTATAAGACCTAGTCAAATATTCTTGCTGGCTAATAGCATCGTTACGTTTGATATAAGGTTTAAAATTTGGCTAAATTAATTGAATCATTTCATTTGAGAAAATATTGACCCAAAAGAAGTAAGCTGTTGGAGTGTGGTGTAAATTTACAAGAGAGAAGATTAACTTATTATTTTCAGATTAATTCAAACATTGGGCAACAGATTGCCAAGGAAACGGCATTCCTAGTTCAGATATCTTTTGGCCCTAAATAAAGGCTAAAAACACTACCGGTACGGTACATCCATTGAAGAGAAATCCCTAACCTGCAACAGGGAGGTTTGGGAGAGGACACAGCACTGAAAAATCGCTACGACTGTCTTTTGTGATAGAGCTTATATTTTTTGAGCCTTGTTGAAGTCTCAATTGTAGATTGAAGAAGAAATTTTATCAAAATTTTTACTTCAATTGTCGAAAAACACTAAGCAAAACTTTTTGTAAATTAAATGAACAAATTGTTTTGCGATATGACTGTTCATAATCAAAATCATGAAACTGATGAAATTTGACAGTTAAGTCAGTCATTCATAATGGAATTCAAGTTTGTATCATAATTCTTTTTTGCACTCCAACTATGCAGTCGTATCTTGATGATAGTCATGTTTGGTATCTCATACTTTTGACATTTTAGTCCTTTTAATAATATTTTGGTACCGCAGATGTGAAATTTGGTTTTCTGATCCAACTTCATCTCTGTTAGTAATGACATTGCGTTGATATAGACATCAATATAATTAAGTTAACGTTAAATAGACACACACTTTTTTTCATTTACCAACAAATGTTAGAATATTATAGCAAATCAATGTATTTGATCAGCAAATCTGATCGAAATAGATCTTTAAATGTTGATCTTAACTTGGTGATATTTCTTCATCCAATAGTTACTCTAAATATTTTGTCAAAATTTAACTCTTGATATTGGTCATATTGGAACTAAATAAGATTATTCATAAGTTTAAGCCTTGTAATTGGTTTTTCCATTTCTATGTGATTGGTGAAGAGTTTTTTTCTAACAAAATGAAATTTGATGATCCACACGAATTTAGTTAAGAAATGATTTACATCTATTGAAGCATGCCTAAGCTGTTCTATGGCCCTGAAAATTCAGTTGTATATGTCCTCATGGAAAAGGTAGCTGATATTGCAAATTGATTTTGTGAGTGAATTTTGAATGTTTTGGGAAAGTTTAGAGAGAAGCGCAATTGAATAAATACTCACTACCATACCTCTTCAGGGTGTTTAAAGACACAAGCACTGGTTGTAATTAAATACATATTTATAACTTTTTCAGGAACGGATATATCTAATGGAGAAGAAGTAGCCATTAAGTTGGAATGTGTGAAGACCAAACATCCACAATTACATATTGAGAGCAAGATATATCGTATGATGCAAGGTGGAGGTATGTTACATCCTGACACATATTTTTACTTCGCACATTTCAATATTCTTTGATTATGCATCCTTGTGATAATGAAAGGCTTGTAAATTAAGCTATTTATATTATCAACTGTACATTGTGCACCAACAACACAAGTAGAGTATAATGGCCTGTCCTGATTTTTATGTCATTCTGATTGTTGAACCAGCCCGCTCTAACAGAAATATCCTGTATTTTTCAGTTGGAATACCAACTATTAAATGGTGTGGGGCTGAAGGTGATTATAATGTTATGGTTATGGAGTTGTTAGGTCCCAGTCTAGAAGATCTTTTTAATTTTTGCTCACGGAAATTTAGCTTAAAAACAGTGCTATTACTAGCTGATCAGTTGGTAAGCTATTTACTTTTCTTTTCCTTTTATTGTGACAATTTGGTCAAAAGGGTGTGGGGGATTTAACATTTTCTATTTGTTTTCCAGATCAGCCGAATTGAATATATTCATTCAAAGAACTTCATTCACAGAGATGTTAAACCAGACAATTTTCTTATGGGACTCGGAAAGAAAGGAAACTTGGTGTATATTATTGACTTTGGACTAGCCAAAAAATATCGAGATGCTCGAACACATCAACATATACCATATAGAGAAAATAAAAATCTCACTGGTACTGCTCGGTATGCTAGTATTAATACACATTTAGGAATTGGTAAGTCATTCTAACATACTTGAAATTGGAATATTTTAACCATAGTTTTTCAGAAATGCAGCTCATAAATAATGTGCTATTGAAACTGCAACTTCAGTGGTCAGTTTAATATAAGATGATTTTACTCTTCTGGCCAACTGTTAGGACAAGCTGTCCAGCAGTTAAATTAATGTTCACTATAGTTATATACACAATCAGATTAGGCCTTGTGTATTTTCTCATTAGTTTTATACCCACATTATAATGTGGTCGTATATTATCGTCGCTCCTGTCCGTCCGTCCACAATTGGCTTAAGACAACAGTTTCTATTCGATTTGAATGAAATTTGGTGTGAATATTTATATTGGTGAGATCTTGGACAAGTTCGAAGTTGGCTTGTTTTTTTTTCGATGAATGGTTTTTTAGTTACTGTGCTTGACTTGGGAAAACGTGTCAAAATTTGTTTGTGAACACGATAGAGACTAAAGTTTCATCCTACTTAAAGGAATTTGTGTTCTAATTTTTTATAGTGATGAGATCTTAGACAAGTTTGAATTCGGCTAACTTTTGATGAACAGTTTTTTAGTTACTGCCCTTGACTTAGGAAAAACCAATCAAAATTTGTTTGTGAACACAATAGAGACTACAGTTTCATCCTATTTAAATGAAAATTTGGTGTGAATATTTATATTGATGAGATCTTTGACAAATTTGAATTTGGTTATCTTTCGATGAATGGCATTTGAGTTATTGCCCTTGGCTTAGGAAAAACGCATCAAAATTTGTTGGCTTGTTAATGCGATAGAGATGAAGTTTATGTCAGAATTTTATTAAATTTTGTGTGTTTGATTAAATCAACAATATCTTGCACAAATTAGATTTTTGGTATGATTTGACACTAATTGCCATGGTGATTGCCCTTGATATACTGAAAATGTATCGGGAAAGTGGGCGTATCTTGCTAGGCAACCACCTGTTTCTTTTCCTTTCAGCATTGCGATGAAGACGAAACAATGATCATGATGTAGAAATTCAGTTACATAAGATGATTTTTATAAAAGTAAAAAGGCAATATATGTATTGTTTCTTTCAGAACAAAGTAGAAGAGATGATATGGAATCCTTAGGTTATGTGTTCATGTATTTCCTAAGAGGTAGTTTACCATGGCAGGGCCTAAAAGCAGCTACCAAAAGGCAGAAATATGAACGAATTAGTGAAAAGAAAATGTCAACTCCTATTGAAGAACTTTGCAAAGGCTTTCCATGTGAGTTATAAATAAATTTATAAATTGTCTATATTTCTTTTTGCCAATGTTCAGTGTGGAAGATTATTATGATAGTATTTTTATCAAAACTAGAACTAGCTATATTTAAAAAGCAAATTTATATTCTTTTTTTTTTTTTCAAGCATCACAAACTTCTTTTAGTTGAATAAATAGAGTAGAAGAGACCTACTAAACTGATGCTTAAATGTATATCAACGAGTGTGATGAAATAACAGTAGCATTGTAATGCTAAAAGTGATGAATATTTTATACATATTGCTTTTTTCTTCCAGCTGAATTTGCTACTTATCTAAATTTTTGTCGATCTCTACGTTTTGATGATAAACCTGATTATTCCTATTTACGTCAGTTATTCAGAAATCTCTTCCATCGTCAGGGCTTCACTTATGATTATGTCTTTGACTGGAATATGTTAAAGTTTGTAAGTATGAATTTTGTGTTAGATTTTGATAAGTTGCTCCATTTCTGAGATAGAATAAGAAATAATCTTGAACTGGGTAATTTAGGAGTTATTGCCCTTTCCTTTTTCCCCTCATACAAAGAACATTGACTTCAAACTGTTTTGTATTGCATAAAGTGAATACTGTGATGCTTGTCGTGGAAATTTTATGATTGACTTCTGATGTTGGTCAAAGAGGGTCAAGTCATTTCAGAGTGACAATAAACCTTGCTTGCACAGTTTGAAATAGAGAAGGAGATATTAGCTTGGTATTAGACATCTTATAAATCCGATCAATGTTGATTTTTCAAATATCCATTTTAGGGAGGAAGAGGTGCTGAAGAAACAGAAAGAGATAGAAAAATGAGCTCGACAGCTAGAGCATTACAAGGAACACCTGGTGCAATTGGTCGCATGAGAGGTGAACCTATGGGAATAACACCCAGTGGTCAAATGTCCGCAGATTTTAATAGTAAGTATATTTATTTAGTCACCTTTAATTTGGTCTTAACTGTCTGACACTTGAGTATCTTTAAGTATTTCAAGGTAACTTGCACAGTTTGTTCTTTGTTAATGAACTAGATATGTCATTCATTAGGGATCCAGATATTATATCTTTGGAACTTTAAACTCTCCCTTTAGATCCCTTTATGAATTATTTCAGTGTTATTTTGGAGTAATTCCATTCCAGATTAGTTAATTTTCAATTTATATTTATGCATGTATTTATGTATCATATATATATTATCATCTCTTTATATATTTTATTATCACATTAGATTTAGATTATTTTGATCATTATTTTCCTGTATTGTAGCATTAGTTAAAAAAATTTCCTGCATAGTTCTTTATATCAAATTTTGTCCATATTTTGCTCTCTTCTCATATTTGACAAAGTATTGAAGGTTCTAGTTGCTTAAGTTTTGGCTGAAATTTATGCTGAATTTAATATTGGTGATGAACGAAAATAGACAGGTTTTGTGTGTATTTCATTAATGATTTGTTAGTCCTGTCCTTTCTTACTTACCGAAGCAAACGACCTTTCAGGAAATAAAATAAAGAGAGAGACAAATTTGGCATTTTCTTGCTATCGTTCAAAACTGACACATGCTAAACTCCATTTCCAGATAATTGCAATGCGTCTCTCTTTGCTATTACACTAGCCTTTTGGAATATTATTCGGTCTGAAATTATTTTACTGCTTTTGATATAGTAATTGCTTTTAAACATTTTGTTATGCAAAAGACATACCTGAAATTGTCTATTGTCTGGGAGAGAACAAATTCCTGCTAATCAACTACAGACAAACCCAGTTTCAGAATTTTATTTTGAAGAGTGTTTTAGATAACTTATATGCAACTGCCAAGAATTTTGTGCTTTTTTCGATTTTGAGATTTCGTTTAAAGATGGGCTTACAACCAGAATTTTTTACAGCTTAGAAATTGATTGAATTGGTTTAAATATCAAACTTTTAGCATTGGCTCCAGCTATACCACATCATTCTGTCCATGACCAATATTCAAGTTTATCTTTTTATGAATTTATCTTTATTCATGGATTTGAAACAAGAATTTTGAGATATGTTAAAAAGTAGTAGACAGTAATATAAAGAATACCTCTTAAGATGAAAGAATTGCTGAAAGAATTGAGGAAATGAGAAGTTGAAAAATTAAACAATAATGAGATAGTTTTGAATGGAATTGATATTATATAAAGAGAACTAGAAAGATAAAGACAGATGAAAACCATTTACAGTGTTGTACCTTCAACTTAGTTTTACTGCACTTAATTCTGTCCAATATGGTACTGGGATCAACCTAATTTTTCTTAAATATATTATTTCTTTCCTGCATGGTTCTCTCTTTATTTCTGCATGCTTTTCTTTTTGTCTTAGCCTTATTTGGGTGTCTTTTGGTTTTTCAATCCCTTAATGTACAGTGAAAAGCATAAATTTTTTCTGTGTGTATAAAACTTCATTCATCATTTCATCATCAACATCCATCCTTCATTGGTGTCCATCATCATTCATTATCATTACATTTATCAATTGATTCTGGTTTCAGACCATAAAATATAACTGGTGATGAATCAAAATTCTGATGTCATTCTTGTCACTTGTTACATGTCAACTGATACTTATCATTTATTCACATCATTATAATTTGACATTTATCTCATTTTCATGACAATTCATTCACAATATTTTCATTGTATACTTTCATTATTCACTATTTTCAGATCATTATTTACATCTTGTCATTATTCATAACATAATTCATTTTCATATATTCATTATACAGGTTCTGGTCAATTTTCATTAGACAAATCATGTACACTTGCATTATTCATTACATAATTCATGGATTGAAAGCATAAAATTCTAAAAGTGTTTTAGTTGGCTTTTTAATGCATGTATGAGATCTGTAAAACACATCTCGGTCCTTACTTATTTTATGACAGTCAAACCTCCAGAGAATTAGATGCATGAAGTTATAGCATAAAACATCGATATAAAAGACAAAAACAGATTTCTTCACTGTTGAATAATTTTATACTACTTTAATAGCCCACTACAATCTTGACACAATCTCCATTTTATTTAAGCTTATATTGATTTCTATCAAATGCGATGTTAGAACTTTTTGAAAAGCTTATTTAAACCCCATAGAAAAACCACACTAAATTTTTTCCCCCAAACACTGACACCTTTTTTTTTTTCTCTTTCTTCTCTCAGACATGCGGGGCCTCTCCTCTCGGCTTAAAGAGAGACTTCCAGCACGGCTGTCCTTAGCTACCAAAGGCTCAGGCTCTCAGGAGGGTGTGACAGAAAGTCGTGTGAGTGAGAGATTGGCTACTCCCTCTTCTGGTGGAAGATTAAGTATGAAGGGTTCAGGTCTCCCAGTACCTATAGGCAGTAGTGCAGATGGATCGAAACTTAGACGTGTTGCCGGTGAAGGTCGTGGATTATCAACAAAACAGCGTCAAACATGAACCTTGTATTGTTTAAGTTATTTGACATTTTCTCAAAGACAAAATGCTGTTGAGTTTTGTTATTAATAAAATAGTGATTGTGAAAGCTGTTAGAAACGGTCACAAAAATTCTTCCAATGTGGAGACCAAAAAATAGGATAAGATGTGAACATGGATTATGCTATCAGCTAATGTTAAAAGGTGTGTTAGACATCAGTGAGAAGTGTTCATTCTTTTTAAGGTACCAGTTCTAGCATATATTTGATGCTTTTAATAATCATTACGTGACTATCAAGAAAAAACTTATACATATTAATAATTAATTTATTATAACTTGTTTTCAAATCATACTGTGAATATTTAATAACATTCATACAATAAAGACATTTTGTTATTGCATTCAGGTATATATGTATCATTTTGATTATATCATATTGTTTGTTGATATTTGCACTTATTGTCAAATTAAAGTGACGTTTGCTATTTAATTCAAATCCACTATTTTGAATTGGTATCTAATTTGATGTAATAAATGGTTTTGAGATCTTTGAAATAGATGACATTGAGCAATGACTTATTTATGTAGAATGGAGATCTATTAGCTTTAATCGACACTGCCAAAAACTCTTATAGGTCACCTTTCATTGTTGCTCACTTTGCTTAGGACCTGTGATTATGAAGATTTTTATAGACTAATAAGTATTTTATTCAATCCAATCTGCACAATTCATTCAAATATCCAGTAATTAAGTTGCATGATTTTCAAGGATTTTTAAAATTTTTAAGGTTAAATAGATGTGAATGAAAAAGAGCCCAAATTATAATTCTTTATTGGTCAATAGTTTTTATTATCAGCAAAGTTAATGCATGATTATATTCGACAATTGTATGAAATAGTGTCATTATGTTTATAAAGCTTTAAGTACTATATTGTTTTCAGTATACAACATACAATGCTAATTGTTACTATTGCATCAATTTTACAATTGGCCAATAAATACCTAACAAGAACAAACTTAGCTTTACAAACATTATGGACCTAATATTTATTTAACCAGGTTGTTTTTCTTCAGCTTATTGTGTACTCAGACTTTCACAAGGTATTTTAGAGATATATTCTGCTCATACCCATAATAGATTTCATTTATAAAATATCTACATGTACTTGCAGTTCAGTAGAATTGTTCAAGGTTTGTCTTAAATATTGAACAAGAACAGAAAATGTCATACTTTATGTTGGTTATATTAGTTCATTAATGAATATACATAAAAAAGCTATCTCTTAGGGATGCCTGATTATTGTAGATAAAACCAATTTCATATTTTCATTCTAAAAAGAATTACCAGCAGATAGAATTCAGATTTCTTGTTGAAAAAGTGAGGTGACTATATCCTCAAAAACCAAGTGAATTGCACAATGAATGTTCTTTAGTAAAAAATGTAACAAGTTGTAAAAGTATGTTGTTTAATAGATATTATACTTGTGGGAGTGTTTTGTATAAATGTTCAATATATCTCTACATTTAAACTGTGCAATAATTTTAATACTTAATTCTCTTTAAATCAGTCCGTTTCAAGGTGTGTTAATATAGCAAATGTATTTTAGCCGAGCAAATATTCTCTTGATTATTGCGTGCACTGCACTCTACAACTATGCGTGATATTACACGCGCATAATTTTAAACAGATCGTTTGATGATGGATATTATGGTTTAAATATATTGTTATCTCCAAGTTATCTGTAATTTTATCCAAACATAAATGGTTAATGAGTCTGTATTTTAATCAAATTTCTACAAATAGCTTTCTTTTAGGACTGAAAGTACACAAATAATATCTTTGCATTTATTTGACCTAATGTAATAAAAATTTAATGAAATTTATGTCTGAAGAACAAGTTTTACCTGTACAGATATTTTTGTACAAGTAGCTATGTTAATAGAGTACCAGATATTTGCTGTAGATTAATAATTGTCTTTTAAATCTACATCAACCTGATTATATGAATCAAGCTTTACATTGAAATATATTAAGGATCTATTACATGTGATTTTTGTTGCCACGACTGTTATATAAGGTTGAACTGTGACAGGAATAAGAAATATTTTATTGTGATATATCATTTAGTGCTTCGAAAGTCATTTGATGTAGAGAAAACATTTTCAGTGTATTATTGTACCTATCTATCCTTATTACTATGGTTATTTTATCTTTAGGGAATAATTAGTCAATACAAAACCTGAGTCTATATTTATTACTATTTTGGTTTCTCAAATGATTCGGATATGTAATAATAATATCCATACCAGCTTGGTACTAATTCTCTAACTGATCATTTCTTTCGTATTTTATGGTAGAATTCAAATTTTGAAAACATAGAATTAGTTCCTTACGCATATGGAAAATGTATGTTTCCCAAATCGGTACTTTCTGTAACCTAATTAACTAAGAAAAAGTAGGCAATCTGAAATGAAGCTTCTTACTTAAATTTAAATACAATTTTTTAAGATTCATTCTAAGAATATTTAGGAAATAATCTATTATTTAACAAAAATTATTCTTAATGTCATAATTTTGTGTTTTGAAACCAAGTCCCTGTTTGTTATTATTTAACATGTTGATGAAGAAACATGCAGAAAAGATCAACTGACGTTTTACATAAATCTCTTGTCAAGGAACTCAATTTGGCTGAGGACTGATGAAAATATGATGTGAATTTGTTGTGAAAAATAGTCTGAAATATCAGTCCTTTCCATTTGTTCAAAAACACAATATCAAATAGAGTTCCTTTAAGTTGACTTATTGATTGCATGCTATTTTGTTATTATTTGTATATAAAAGCTAGGTTGTTTGTATTAAGAAACACATTGTTTATGAAATATTACAATTGTATTATATTATTGATGTCAGATATTGTATATAATTTGAAGATCTTGATGAATAATAAACATTTTTTTACATAAATTCTCACATCTCACCAAAATCATGAAAAATGGATTGACGAGGTCATTTAGAATGTTTAAATTAACTCAATTTTTTTATAATTTTTTTTGTAGATAGTAAATTGGCTGGCCTCAGGAGATTTCCATAGTATTTGCTTAGTTTTTAATATGACAAAATTCATTGACTTAGCTTAAAAGCATAACACTTGAAATTTTTTTTAATTAACTTCTTAGAAGTGACATGCCATTAATTTTAATTTCAAAAAATGAGTTGTCAATTGTTGATTATCACATTTATTGCATCCCTTGTTTTAGGTACCTCACCACGCCCTGTCTCTCGAGAACGTGAAAGAAGAACAAGTACCAGACTTCATCGTGGTATACCAACAACAAATGAACAGCAACGAGATCCATCACGTATACCCACTAGTCAAACATCTCAAGGTGTAGTGGGAAATGGTATGAACTCTTCTGCCATGCGTAGAGGTAGTGCATCTCGTGAAGTGGACAATCCTCGTTCAGGTTCATCAAAACATATAAGAAAATAATTTATATAGTGTGCAGTGATTGAAGAGAATAAATAAAGCCAGGCCAAGGTTTCCCACCACCTTCTACTACCAGTCTCAATGTGTGGCAGCACATTTAACAAAGCATTCCAACCATAACAATATTGTAATAAATGAAGATGTGTGTTGATTATTCATGGCATGTTCTTCAAAAAGAGTCGGATGGAATCATGCCACAGTCTGAAAAGGTTTGTGTGAATCATACAATTAAAGTGAAAAAATTAAGTGTCAGAAATGAAGACTTCTATCAGTGTGTGTGGAGTTTAATGGCGGCAAGTGATATGTAATTGTGCCAAGTTAAGTTATACATCATTTTTAACATGAAGTTTTAATGAACCTGGGTATCATACCCATTGAAAATTGTGTTTAGAATGTGTGAGATGATCAAAATCATCAGAGATTTGTTGACTAAATATATTTAAACGTTAATTCTAAAAAGTGATCAGCATTCATGATAATTTGCAAGTCATTTTTTATTGTCCCAAGTATTTTAATTATAGTTGTGTGGTGTTTCATTTATTCTATGTAAATATCAAATGTTCAAAATCTTATCATTTATACATCATTATCACTGTGTATATACAAGATTTAAAAGTCTGCTGGCAGCTAATTGTAATAGTTACTGCTTAACAGACAGTTGGCTCTTGGCTCTCAGCGGTGAACTATACATAATCCAGAAGTCACCAGCTTGATCTCAAAAGTTATACATCTTAACTAAATTATACCTCAAGGTTAGGTATTTATAATTATTACTGATATTGAAGAATGCACTGGTGTTGGGAATTTTGCTTTTCATTAATCATTGGAATAGCTCAATTGAATGGTACTGTTATTGGAATTCAGACTAGAATGTTGACTATCAGTAGTCCCATTATAAGTTCACTTCACCTCATATCTACTATCTGGACATCCTGGTTTATAATTCAATATAAGTTATCGAATGGTGTAGGTCTCTTTCAGTAATTTAAAGGGATTGTTTTGTATTAGGAAATAATCTATTTATGGGGTAACATTAAACAACGGCTTTGTTACTTTGTTTAAGCACACCTTTGATTGTTGCCTATTTGACAAACAAAAGTGACATATTTTAATGACTATTATATATTTGCCCTTTATAATGTGTATAAAAAAATTATTAGTCTATAAGAGATTTTAAATGGGAACAAATTGATATTGTAAATACCAAGTTTTAATTTGCATAATGTCTTCAAAACAGGAAACCAAAACCAACTTCTGATTTCATACTAGAAGTTTGAATTAAACTTTAGATACAATTTTGTACATGATTTGGCAAAGAACACAATGATATAAATATATTTTTTGTAAGGGTGTTTACTAAATGAAATATGAAAGGACATATTCATAGTGTTGAATCTCAAATGTCTACAACTTTGAAAAAATATTTTATTTGGGGACCAATTTTAAATCTTATATATAACAGAAAAACAGTTTCAAATTTCTTTTAAATATTTATATTGCAGTCTACTCTAGGTTACCATATATTTCTTATAAAAGGCAGGGGGAGGGGGACGAAACTGAAGTACACCAGCATATCAGACGTGGTACAACATTGTAGCCATTTATATTATTGTATAATAAGAATGGTGAGAGTGAGAGATTGTATAATAATGTATGTATGATACTTGTATATTATTAAGGATGTAAATAGTAATAATTGTGTGTTTTAAACTACTAATAATACTATTGTCCAATTCATGGTTAATAAAAAAAAATCTTCACTGACTTTCACGTTTCATCAAGTTACCTACTCTGAGATTTCTAACATTTCATTATCTTATATGAAGGATTTTCGCTACTGAAATATAAGCCAGGGACTTCTTAGATGTTTTTCAACATTAAATCCAAAACAATCCTAAATTCAGGTCAAGTGCATACTAGGATATCTGGGACAATTGGAAAAAGGCTTATAGGGGGCTCAGACGTCGGTTATGTTTTAATACAGACGAGTCAGTCATATAATTAAATACAGGTCGAGTGGGTCCGCGGATGTCAGTGATAATTGAAATGCAGCCCAGATCCTCTAATGTCAATGATATTGAATACAGGCCGAGTGGGTCCTCGGATGTCAGTGATATTTGAAGGTAGGCTGAGTCATTCCTCGGATGTCAGAGATCATTGAATAAACTGAGTGTCAGCTGTCAAATAATTGAATACAGGTTGAGTCGGTCCTCGGATATCAGTGATAATTGAATACAAGCCAAGGTCCTCGGATATCCATGATAATTGAATACAGGCCGAGTGGGTCCTAATATGTCAGTGATATTTAAATGTAGGCTGAGTCAGACTTCGGATGTCAGACATCATTGGATACAGGTCGAGTAGATCCTCAGATATCAGATAATTGAATACAGGTCGAGTGGGTCCTCAGATGTCAGTGATAATTGACATAAATTATCTACTGAAGAAATGACTCGTTAAAAATATAAAATGAGTATTTAATAAGTTATTTACAAATTAATAACAGTATGAAATAATGTAACATTAGACTAAAGTTCCTTTACACTCTTGCCCAGTACAATCTGGAAATGGGAATATATCTGGAATGATTTGAGTCTCTGTGGTAAATTCTAAATCTGAGTCAGCGAAACCTTGGAATGTTAACTGAAAAACATATGCACATTTGAATTGATGAAATCTTTGACTAGTTCGAAATAACCCTTGTCGTGGATATAATTTGTCCGACAAGCTAACCATGAAACTTTGTTGCAGTAAAACTTTTAAATGAGATGATTATTTGCTATTATGATTAATTTTATTATTGAATCCCCTATAGAGTAGGCCTATTATAATGAAACACCATTTTGGAAGTTCAACTAACCTGTATAAAGAATGCTGTCCAGCCTATTTCAGGTTTTGTTAGTTCAGCTCTGTATACATTGTTACCCTATAAATAATGACTTCAAGATAAGTGAACAGAGAACATTTTAAAGGTTCGAACATCATGTGCCAACTGCGGAAATAATCGGATTTTTTTTCAGCATATATCATTTCCTTAGCTCTTGACACGTAATAATGATATTTAGGTGGTGCAAGAAAGTACAATATGAAACTGTCATCCTTTCTTAAAAATCTAAATGCTTGGTAGCTGGCTACGAGATCTAGACAAAGTATCAATAAGTTCACCACAGTCATCAGATAACGTGACTTCTATCAAGATTAAATAAATGCCCAGGAAAATTTTATTACGTACCATATCTTGTACATCATCTCTCAACCAAACTACGGGATGTGGCATGGGTTTAGAAGGGTCACCTGGGGTACCAACTAATAATCTAAAGTCACGTCTAAAAAAAAATGACAATACCACCAAGATCCATATAATAACTTCAATACTGGAAATATTCGTTTATAGTCGTGGAGAATTTATATAGTATTTCAAAGGCAAATCACTGTATCAAAGCTAGCTACGATGAAGCTCAGAACGAGAGCTATTGACGCTAGAGGTGCAGAACAAAAAGTTCAGGAAGCATTTGCGGCGATATGGCTCGGGGTTAACTAAGAAGCTCAGAGCTAGTTACTGTGCGTCACAAAGTTAGGTACTGTAAGTTTCTAATCAAATAAGATTCGAATTTACTACAAACTAAAGACGTAATATACCTATTCCCGTCTAGAGTTCTGGCATAAAACACATTGACTGTTTTAGGTTTCTGATTACAAGTCACTGTAATTCTACCACCCGATGGTGTCTAAAAATATAAAACATAACATGGTTGAGAACAAATTGATAACAAAGCATGGTTCAGTCAGTAAAAATTAATAACAAAACATGGTTCTGTCAGTACAAATTAATAACAAATCATGGTTCAGTCAGTACAAATTGATAACAAAACATGGTTCAGTACAAATTGATAGCAAAACATGGTTCAGTACAGATTGTTGATTATCCCCAAAGCCGTTGTAAACATTCAGCGTTATATGGACATTCCATCGACATTCTTGTTTTACCAAATACCAGGCGCCGTAGATTTTAGAAGGGCCAATTCATCTGAGAATATGAAAGATGTGTTACTGTGGGAGAGGGAAATGCTTCTGTAGATATGATTAAAATTATAAAGGATTTATTTTTACCTCTTCCCTCACCCATGTTAGTTGTGGTAAAGGTGTTTTCTGAAATAAAAATGTTGGTGAAACATGATGGTGAAATTTTCTCACTATATCTCAGCATGAGATACTATGATTTGTGAGGCTCTATACTGATTCCATATCAAACTGCGTTTAATACAAAACGTTACGTAGTCTAGTATTTTGTTATTTATAAAAGTGAGCAACTAAAATCATGACGTATTCCACTTTCACATTGTGTTAAACATTCTAAACATCCATGCTACAGCCACACTCAATTAATCGTTATGTTTTCTGAGATTATCATAGTTAAATACGTACTGTTATCACAGATAAATAGAAAGCTCTCATTGTAAACAATAAACTAATCTCATGACCAGCACAAGAATGTTCTGCATTTGGTAAAATTCTGCAAAAATAACAAATTGAGAGGTAAATCGTTAATAATTTGACACTTGGTGCTATAAGGTGTATTGTCCCATCCAAGTGACTAGCCGCTTTGTCATCTCCTCCCCTGACCCGCTGCTATAGCCTTGTCCTATGCCTAAACCATATCTATACTAAACGTATTAATCACTCAGCTCTCTAAGACACTGTTATAATCTTGCTGTGTGGTTGCTGTTAATATTTTGTGCCTAGTGCGACATCTGACGCTGATTTTTTTTTTTATCAATCATGAAGGATTTAAATATAGTGATTTGATTTTTTATTTACCTAAGGTATTTAGGTCCCATTAATTCCTTAAAATAAAAATGTGAGTCGTCTGGCAAGAAGAATTCATCACCTCCAGTAGAAACAACAAGTTTAGGTATGTTAGCATATCTATCATTGTAACCTGAACATAAAAAGGTGCCATTACATCACATTATTATAAATGAATAGTCAAGGGTAAGGGGGCTCAGGTCAACAGGTGATTTACATGATCTAAAAAGGTTTGTCTCATTTTTCATTAAATCCTACCGTGAAGCTCGGAGACCAGATCCAGTTTTTGCTGCAAAATATATCTTGAGCAACTGATGCCGACTGCGATCATCCAAGACAATGCCAGTAGCCATGTTCCTTTAAGAACGATGTAATAGGTTTATCTAGATTCGTTGTAATTCAAGTCGTTCTTCGAGGCGCAACTGTTCTGTTACTTGTCGGGTTGAAAGCCTTTTAATGGAAGTCTTACTAATTGGGTCAATAATATCAGCCATAGCTTGTGTCCACGGACTGTCTAAATCTTGTGTAAAATTCAGACTGTAATAATCTTTAAAAGCAAAAGTCCAGCCACCATAAGCACGGTAGTGATGATGAAGATTCTGAAAAAATAACAATTGTGTCTGGATAACAAAATTTCAGACATCGTACAATTTTCGTAGGATTGGTCATATTTTGATATTCCATTGTCTTGCATCGGCGAATGCACCATCAGGAGTTTTATTGCACATTTTCTCACCGTAACTGATTTACGAATTATCACCCACCTTCACCATATGTAATAAATCCATGACAATTGGTGCCATTGCAACAACCCTATTATCTACTGCTGCAGTTGTCCATGTTGTCCATCCTCTCTGAAACAAATAAATGTAATTGATAGCAAACACGAACATAGTTATATCCATCTTTAAAATGTGGCATCTGTGACATCACGAGATCTGGCAAAGATTTAGTATGATTCAATTTCAAAATGTTTTAAATGTTTTTGTCACTCCTTGATATATTATAATATTATGAACTTTACCTTTGAAGCCCCAGCTATAAAGAATTTATCTACTTTATTACCAACTTTATCCATAGCAAAATCAGCTATGGTATCTAAAGCACGAACTGAAGCCTGAAAATACAACTAAACTGTTACAGTACATTGCTAGTATGATACGAGAATCAAAAAGTAAAAAAAAAATTCCATATAAAATGCTGTTTACATTTTTCCATAAACGTTTCCTCAAAAGATAAAGTCATCAAAATCGTGCTGTATATAATTGTTTCATATGTTTTTATAACCCTATACGACATCCAATGGACTAGATGCAAGTAGCATAGAAATAATCTAATTCTATGAACAAAACCTTATCATGTTGCCATTAAGGAGAGGTGGGGTTTTATAATTTGCCCTACAAATTTATGTTAAACATCTTACCTTGGTCATTGGCATTCGAAGTAATAGATCAGGATTCGACCCATTTGTTTCTACAAATGTTTTCCATGTCCAGGCAATAATAGCATCTTCAGTTCTCTGTTTTTTAGTTGGATCAGCCTATTAAATAAATTGTGATAGGACTGTTCAATATAAGGCGCTGGCACAAAGTATTGTTTACAATATTGTGGTGTTAATATTTAGTAAAATAAGCAGAAGTAAGTAATTTGGAAAGGTTTTGCGGCCCTAAATTTTAAACCACGAGATAAAAATTTAAAATTTCTACTTATATTTATCCAAGCAATTCACTATTAAGTATAAAAATACTGATTATCATCATTAAAAAGAAAGAAGTGTTTCATCTATTTGAAATAACAACGAAAAGGTGCTTACTGGCAAGTCTAAAGTAAACTTTACAACGAAACAACTCGTAATACAGGTTCGTATGATTATTATGCATCCTCAATTGGATCTAATCGGCCACGAACAAGTATGTCGTGTAGATTTTGATTTTTAGAATAGGCCAATACCAGTTTGTTTGTTTGTTTTTATAGAAGACAGTTCGTAGTTTATTTTTTTAACTCTGAGTGGTATCGTTTAACTATACGGGAAGCTTGGCAAGAAATGTTATTAAATAGGAAAACAAATGGTATTAGGCCTATTTGGAAATCAAACTGAATATTGAGTCCAGAAGGTGAGGCAGTTTTTACTTGGTTTATCCAAAAGCTTTCTCTGTATAGTCTTCATGTCATGGGATTGATGTCTTCTTCATTAATTATATACTTGCTCAATCGGTTTGGTTTCACCTTCAAATTGGCCAAGGAATGGTTGATTGAGTTGAAGTGGTTCCCAATTGGTTTATCTTGATGTTGGGAGATGTCAAAACGATGGCCGTTAATTCTTTCTCTCAGAGAATTTTTAGTTTAACCTACGCGTTGTAAAGGGCATTTGTCACATGAAATTAGGTAAATAATATTCGTACTGAAACACGAAAGTTGGCCGGTAATCGCGAATTGTTTGTATCAGACATTGGTCATACTGATTAACAATGGGTAAGATAAACGATCAAAGAGTATATCATTAAACAATAAACGAGTATACCATAATGATATTAACGATAAACGTTTAATGAGTATATCATATTCTATAAACGAGTATACCATAACGATATTAACTATAAACGAGTATAAACTATAAACGACTATACCATAACGATATTAACTATAAACGACTATACCATAACGATATTAACGATAAACGTTTAATCAGTATGGTATTGACGATAAAAGTTTAGTGAGTATACCATTATGGTATTTACTATCTAAACGATCAACGAATATACCAAAATGATATTTACTGAAATGATCAACAAGTATATCATAATGATATTAACGATAAACTGTCAATGAGTATATCATACATGGTATTGACGATAAAAGTTTAGCGAGTATACCATTATGATGTTTACTATCTAAACGATCAACGAATGTACCAATAGGATATTTACTGTAAACAATCAACAAGTATATCATAATGATATCTATAAAGGCATTACCGAGTTGTAAATGGTAATTACCAGTCCTAAGGTTTTACCTTATAACTTGGTAATTCCTTTATAGTGAATGCGATATAATGATAACATACCCATTGAATGTTTATAGTAAATACCATAATGAACGTGTATCGTCAATATACACATTGAAGGTTTATCGTTAAAATACCATTATGATATATATTTATTGAACGTTTATTGTTAATATCATTATGATATACTTGTTGATTGTTTACAGTAAATATCATTTTGGTATAATCGTTGATCGTTTAGATAGTAAATATCATAATGGTATACTCACTAAACTTTTATCGTCAATACCATGTATATACTGATTGAACGTTTATCGTTCATATCGTTATGGTATACTCGTTTATAGTTAATATCGTTATGGCATACTCGTTTATAGTGAATATCGCTGTGGTATAGCCTACTCGTTTATGGTTAATATCGTTATGGAGCGTGTATAGTTAATATCGTTATGGTATACTCGTTTATAGTAAATATTTTTTGGGTATACTCGTTGAAAGGGTATGAAAACTCAATTACCCTACCTTGAACATAATTGGTTGATTTGGAATCATCTTTAAATCTGCACCTATAGTTCCAGTACTAACTGCCATCGCTGTTGTTAGTGCAACGAAATTATCAGTCCCGGTAGGTGGTCTTTAATAGAATAAGCATAAATAAAACAAATTATTCAATCCTGCATTCAAGTAGATTGCCATAAACAAGTAATTTCAAGAGCAGAACAATGACATAGAAGAAGCCTTACCCATTGTGGTTAGATCCACCTTCAATAAACATAAATGCAGCATCAGGATATCTGATTTTGTGTGGAATGGTAACTGTTAAATAATGCCACCAGATAGGTTGTGTTGATATCTCAGCTGTAATTTAATCACAAATTATAATTTGATAATTGTATGGATGAGAGTTTTCACTCCCGATAATCTGTTAATCTTAGGCTCAATATCTATATTTATGGCATTAATGGCTCATTCATTCTCTATAACCATTTTTTGTCAGTTGGCCTATATTATACTGGCTTGAAATGATCAAAATGGAATAGTCGGTTGCCAAGCAAAATACGCCCACTTACCTAATACATTTTCAGTATATCAAGGGCTGTAACTCCAACAATATTTGTCAAACTGTACCCAATTCTAACTTTTCAGATATTTTATTGGCATACATCCTACACAAAATTTTTATGAAAATTGGACGAACACTGTAGACTCCATCATGTTCATGTCAATGATGAAATGTGGTGAAATGATAGAGTGAAATACTGAGTCTCACAAAACACCGAGCCTAGAGGTTGATTTCATTTATTTTTTAAATTGAGGTCAATTGTATTATAAGGTATAATAGACAATCTAGTAACCTACCTGTCAACCATGTCTGTGACGTCATATTGAGTATATACAAAGTATGATCTTCGTGAACATAATGAGTTATTTCAAAATATTTATAAGTTGAATCTGGTCTGTTAACATAATCATCTAGCGGAGTTCCTAAAATTCCTGAAACTGTGACACATATTAGAATGTATAATTTCAGATTCATACTTATTGTCATTCAATCACCGGAGTGGACTTCAAACTTCGCCTATTTTTACTTATCTTCAAAACAGTTATCACGTGAAGTTAAATTTCTGATAAAAATTCTTGAGAAAATGTAAAGATACCATTATCAAACGCACTAACAAAATTTCCAAATAGGACATTTGATAATTATAGGCTATAACATAACAAGCTATTAACTGGTATCGGGAAGAAACCCTCCTACATCCTGCTCAACTTCCATTAGTTCGAATAAATTTATACTGGTAAATTATGTATATAAATATACGCATATGTGTATGTTACTCTTCCTTGAGCACAGCTCATGACTGGTTATATATTTAAGTTCCTTTTTTTAAAAACTAGGCCAACTATTGTAGGTATTAATATTACGTATCGAATGAACGTCGGTTAATTCTCAGGTGTTTCGGGTATTTTATTTTAGTAAATCTTCAATATAAAGTGTCATCTTTATAGTCCTTTAATCACGTAAATCGTACTATGTACTGTATATAATTTCCCTCATATATTGAGAAATAGTTTTAATATTTGGCTTGCATCGCAAACGCAATTTTCCAAATAAAAATATTTTCATTTCAATTTTCCAAATAAAAATATTTTTATTTCAATTTTCCAAATAAAAATATTTTTATTTCAATTTTCCAAATAAATATCCCAACCAATGAAAAAAAAATGGAAAAACAACAAGTTTCCAATAATGATGATTCAAGAATTAAAGATGGATTTCCGTGTTTTTTAAGAGTCAAATTAAGCGAACTATTAGAATAATTGGTGTATCTAATGAATTATCATGTATTCTTTATCATATCATTATTTTCTTATATTTCATATAAAGAGATTTTAATCATAAATGTCCATGTATATACAGTCTGGATAAACAAAAAAATACTTTTTGACCTTTCGTGATCGGTCACTCACTGGCAATTCTCTTCTAATTTAGCTTATGAATTAATTATGGACATGTGAGACATTAGGACACCTCTACTTTCTATTCATATAAGTATTAGCATATCCATTTTCATAAATGAAAATAAGGGAACCCATCTTTAAGGAAATCATCATAATCATTTTTCACTCAATACATCCGATTCAATGTGACGTTGTAGAAAACAATGTAAATTAAATGAATGGAGTATTACTTCCTTCTTTTCTGTACCATGTGGGCTAATGAAGACGGGTAACGCCGTGCGGGGTGCAATGGGGGAAATTTTGCCAGGACAGTGGCATTAGCCGGCTCTTTTTCGATTTCCAACTGTCGAGGGATCTTAAACGTGAACAGCCGGTAGCACACCGGGCCTCGGTTTATTGTCCCATCCGAACGACGAGTAAAGGGTGACATATATGAAATGTATCTTATGTGTATAATACAGCCTAACGCACTTCTCCTTGATTAGCTTTTAAATTAGGATATCTTAGCAGACAAGGTAGACATTTGCCCACATATCATCATTGTAAATTCTTTTATACAATAACATGCAGCATGAACTATATTCATCAGTCTCCTTGATGACAATGTCAGTAATGTAGCTTAATTGATATATTTTAAATGTTGTCAAAAGCTACTTCAAAACCTTCTTTTAAAAATATTGTAAAATTCGTTCTATATCAATTTCATTCTTTTGTGTTCACATACAGATATTGACGAGTTTTAATCAAGTCGAGGGCAGTAGCTCCATTCTTCAAAAAATCGACAAATTTGAACGGTTTAAAAAATCAGATGTCTCTATTATTCGGCTTACAAGAAATACCGAGGTAAGGACGACAGACAAGAGCCATTCTTATATGTGAAAATAGATGCATATTAGATCATTCCAGGAGACTTAAATTAGACAAGGAATCCGTAGATCACAGAGACCAGTGGCTGTGATATTGCTAAGCATGAGTATGGTTAGCTCAACACTAGCAGAACACAGTTGATTAGAAACATAGACCTTGATGGACAATTGTGAGTTACAGGTTGTGCACCTACACCTTAGTACTTTGAAATTGAACAAGGCAAGACCAAGGTTGCATACTGCTTTGTGTTGCCTTCATTTGGTGCAGAAAACAAGAATCAAATGTCACTTCAGCGATAATCATATCAGACTATGTTTCTTTAATTTTTCAAAATTATTTTGAATTTGAAATCTGTCAGCATTGTAGATAATATAGGGATTCTACTGAATTTTATGTATAAATAAGAATGAAGATAAGATGAAATAATTCTATATTTACAATTCAATGGGCATTAATACACAAGACATCAATTCAGAATAATTACAGAAAATTTCATTTTCAAATCAACTATTTCATTCAACGCTTTTCAGATCACTCTAAGTAAGAGGTATAAATAATTGGGAAATATAATGCTTTTTAGGTACTACATTGGCAAAAATTGTTCCCTTTTTGATTCTGCAGAGATGACATTAAAGACAGCCAGGCATAGAACATATGACATAATCAACTAGATATGACATTGTTGGCATTAACATATCAAAAACCAGCAATAACATTCACTGTTAGTTTAAAAAATATAGAACATTGACTTGTTAATTCAGAATAGCACATTTTCATCTTTTATCACAGAATTGTTTTCATAAATTATTGAACAAATTTCAAAGCATAAGCAAATAAACTGGAGGCATTACAAGAAGTTAACCATTTCTTCACATTACCAGGAACATTATCAACTTGTCCAGATTGCTGTAAAACAGACCACATAGCTACATCAGCTAGAGAACACCTATCACCAACAAGCCAACTACTTTTCCCTAACTTAGCATTCAATGACCTCATTACTGCAGCCCTCTCCTTGTTACTGCCATTATTATATTGTATTTGAGCTGTATCCAACCATTCATCTATCTGTGTAGCTTGAACAACATCTCCACTATCAAAACTCGAATCTAACAAACGCTGTAGATATCTAGCTACATTCACTTCACCTTCAATAGCTGTTTGTTTACTTGGATCCACCATTAATCTTGGACCAAACAGCACTGAAATGCATAAAAGGAGATAACTCTTTATAGCTTTCAGATTTTTCAACAATGATAAACTTTATAAGTGAAAATTTTAGTATTTTCTGGGTCCCTGACATCAGAAATATATCTTCATTATACTGCGAAAAAGCAAATACCAAAAAGCATGCAGTACTCATCTCAAAAGTTTGCTCGAATATTTAATGCACATCCAAGGACATTCTCGAACATACAAAAGAACAGTCTATGTTCAAAAGTTACAAATGTTGAATCTAATGAACTAAGGGTAACCAAAGAGTGTTCTATACCACTTATAACACCTTACAATGTATTTAACAAAAAAGTGCACAAATATCTTAACTTACCTTTTTTCCAGATAACAGTGAGAGCTATTTGGTAATCTTTACGAGACTGTACAAGGCCATTGTTAAAGAGATTTTGTATATTATCTGGTACGTAGGATACAGAAGAATGAAGATGAGTGGAAGCTAGTATAGAATAATGTTGTTGTAATTGGTGGTATAAAACTAATAATGAATAAGGTATAGAAGATGGATCGATGTAGACTACTATATCATGGAGTTTTCCAGTCTGAAAAATACATTATCATTTATTAGTGTGATGGAGACATCAGATTGGTCAATAATATTACTGCAAAGCATGAACCAGTGAGTGTTCATGGTGCTGGATAGTGTGAAATATCTTAAGTGAAGAAATGTTTCTGATAACAAGTCTCAGTCTTATAGATTTGTATAGGTCATGGTAGAATAAAGGCCTGAACATACAGAGTTACGTGCGTGCGTTTTCCATACAGATTGCCTCAAAGTGTTTTCATATGTCCATTCATACTCATGCTGAGTCCGGTTACCGCAACATCCACAGTGATTGCCACCCTTGAGAAATTTTGTACAGCGTCGCAATGCCAGGATAGGTGTGGGCCAAACAGCAGCCAGTTTCTAGTCAAGTCATTAACCATGGTACATTCAAATTTAACCAAAATGATCTTTTATTGTGACTCATGACACACATATTGAAAGTTGCAGACTGATGGAAACTGCATGATAAAACAGAACAAGGTTACAAGGACCAGTTACAATAATGTGGTGTGTGGCAGCATATCAGTAATTTGGAGTCCATCAAGTGATATTTTGAAAATAATTTTGTTGTGTGATTTGCGTTTTTCAAGAACAGTGCTTTGTATGTTCAGGCCTCAAACATGACAAAAGTCATGAATATAGATTATAATTACAACTAGGTGATCAGATGGCTATGGAACTATCTCCAAGATACTAAAAACATGCCATTGATCCCAACCTTCAAACACACTAGTTTTGGCTTTAGGCGCATGCTTGCTTCTTAAACTCAGTAAGTCATATTTACCTGTAAGGAAACTGGCTTAGAACTCGAAATTAGCCCTGTTTCAACTGATTTAGTAGTTGCTACATTATATTTCTTCTCTAACTGACCAACTTTATCTTGTATTACACCTAATCTTTTTAATACTTCTTCTTGTCTTCTCTCTAATTCTTCTACAGGAGTCATAGTACTCTACAAATATACAATATATAACTATACAAATACTACTTTATTTTCATTTTATGAAACAAACGTCCCCCTCAATTTCAAGATTTACTTTAGCAAATAATATTAATCTAACATCTATGAATCAGAAAGAATAATGCATTAAATCATTTGGATATACAAAACATATTCAGTTCGTGATTAGGTCAATATATTTCATGACAGAAGTATACCTGTGAATAAAAGATAAACCCTATCAAAAACCAAATTACAAGACATGATGTATATTGTTGATATTGGCAATAGGAATAAATACTTCAAGCTGTTCAACTGACCTCACTGACATTTCAAATTTTCTTATTTCAAGATTAATACATGATAACAGTAGAACACACCTTTAATCTCAACATTCAATATCTAGAATTCAATATATAATAATTCAAATAGGAACAGCAATTATCATTGTAAAGAAACATAGAAATTCTTTTGAAGAACTAGCATCAATAGTGAATTTGGCCTGTAGCTACACCTTACATTACATATTTACACCTAGATATTTTAGAATGCAAAATTCTTTTTCAATACCAGAAAAGATGAAATATCCACTGAGCTAGGCTTAAAAAATGTGTCCTCATCACCAGAATCATAACCAAAAATTCAGAGCTATAAACAGACAAGGCTAACAAAAGTTTTCCAAATCAAATCTTTTTTTGTGAGTAAATATATCAATATGATAAACAGAAATCTGTTTGAGGGAAATTCTTGGCTAACAGGAAAAAAAACATAAGATCAAATGACATTATGAAGTGGTTGTGGAAGTACAACTCTGTTTATATAATAGCTGGGTGTTACAATTATAATCAACTTGTTTCATCTCATTCATAGATAAATCTAGGCCAGTGCAACAGATACTCTATAACTGAAAATTACTTAATATTGATATTTCAAATATTGTTAGAATAGTTTAATTTTTCTAAATATACTGGTATCTTTGTATACAAGAAGATGTCTAATTAAATTATATTACTGTTTTGTTTCCCTGTTATTATTGGTGTTTAATCAAATGAAATTCATTACAAAAAGTATTTAAATTTGCACATGGTCTTTATATAGAATAAGAAGCTGATCTTAAAGTGAATCATTCACAAATCCCCTACATCTCATAGCCTATAATTTTAAGATAATATAATTTAATTGATACCATCGACGAATCAATAGAGTCTTCCATTCAAAATTACAAAGAATAAATAATACAAACTCAATATTAGAATGGCTCGAGTTGAGTTCAGTATATTTGTTAAACTGTATATATTAGTATTTGTTAAATATTTGTCACCAACTGGTCCACTTTAACTTTTACCTCAAACAACTTAGCTGGTTGATCAAACTAACAGAATTCAAGTCACAGTTACAAATCTACCTTATAAATCTACGACAGGGAAAAAAAATTACCATATTAAGCATTCCACTAACAAATTATGGGTTTTACAGATACCATAGAGGACAAAAATTTAATTTAATTACTTTTCCTTCCTTTTCAGTCTTTTGCTGTGTGACACTTTTTAAGCTTTCTCGATCTGGACATGTTAATGTATATCGTGCTCGAAGTCCAGCTTTAGTAAATATTTCAAAATCATCACTTTCATCACTAAGAGTACTTAATTCTCTAAATAAACTATAATTACTATTTTCTCTAGAACTAGGATAAGTGGTAGCCAAACTAATCCTTCCAGGAACTATTAGAGGTGTAGAACTCACACTAGATACATCAGTTTTAGAAATTTTTTCCTCCATACATGGACTAGATTGTGATAAGTTATGGGAAGAATAGAGAACCATACTCTTCCATTCTTCCCCAGTATCACTATCAAATCTTTGTAAATGCACATTAGGACTTTTTTCAGCACACTTGCGTCTATCTCTTTCTAATGTGCTATAATCACTGATAATTGTTTTAACATCTTCCTCTTCTTCTCGTGAGCGACAATTCCTCACAATATCCCGAATTTCATTTCGAAATCTTGAAAACACGTTTCCCATTACTTTTCCTATTATTTTATAGTGAGCATAGTAGAGATAAATTATTACAGCTAACAAAAATGTACTGATAATTTAGTTTCACACACGTCTGCCACAAGTTTCCCTCCATCTTTTGGCCAACACTTCAACACAACTACAAGTGAAAGCAGAAGTATCAGGTTTCACCCTTCCTCTAATGTATATAGAGAAAAGACTAGCAGATGGGATTCTTAGTCAAATAACATGGGTCAAATGTATACATACTAACTTCATTCATACAATATTTCAACTGAACTCAAGTCAGAAGTTCTTATTGTACCACAATCATGATATTGCTACCATTTGCTATCTATTACTGAGTAGAATAGGTTTACCAAAAATATTTTGCTGTTGGTCGTTAAATAAATAAACCACATAGATTTCACATAAGCTCATTGTTTCACATGTTCATACCTACAGAAAAGTTAGTCTTGTTTTAAAAGTGATGGTTCACGATATTCGGAGGTCAATTGTACCTTGGTCTCAGAAACGGGAATTGTTCAGCTTAGCTAATCAGAAATAGTCTTCACAGCTTACTGGCTAAATTTTATCCTTCTTGACAAGGTGCATCCATAATTATCCATGTTTAAAAATTACATTGACGATTTGCCTTTTCAAGATAATATAGAATAATTAAATCATGATTCTGTTTACAAGGTATCACGCAATTTGATTGGATAGCAGAGGTCACGTGCATTCGGTTTATATCTGTGTAAACAGAATGGTAAATATAAGCTCCGCCCCCTTAACAGATTACTTTTATCATTGAATTTGATTGACGTGGCCACCACACGGGGTCAATGTCATTCCTTCGAACATCAACAGAGAACGAATTCTGGACTTATTTAGAACTTGCCTTTCAAAAATTGAACTTTCAACGTGGCCACTCCATATAAATAGTTTACATATCTATTGCTGATTGACTGTTCTCTTGGACGTCTCTATTGTTAGTATCAGTTCATTAGCGTTATGTTAAAATGTTATGTATTTATGCGCCAACTTAGTGCCTTAAGTTGTTGTTATATTATACAAATATTTAAACACTTATTCGAGTTGATTTAATTATAAATATACGCGGATTTATACAATATACACAGGTTTTTTCTGTTTATACATCGATAAACTGAAGAATGTTCAGGTGATTCCTTAAACCGTTCAGGGCTCAATAATCAAAAACTATCCACACACAATATTTCACCAAGATTCATCACAATTTGTCGACTTGTGTTTACAAGTAAAAATGGAGTAGGACGGAATCATTAACTGACCTGAGTGACGCCAACGCCAAATAATTATTACCTCCCATTAAATACAAATGTTATAGTGCTATCCAATCAAACTTGTCAGCCCTCACTTTTTCAGAAGATAGCTTGCCAGAAAAGGTAACATACGCCCACTAGCAGATGTCAGAAATGATAAAACAGTCTTTAGTGACTTACGTACGAATTTTTTCATATTAAAGAAAATTTTATTGGTTTGAAATCAATGATATATAAATTTACTGCCAGTTATTTATGCTGAGTAATATCACAAAATATTTCAAAATCAATATCAATAACCCATCAAATTATCAAATCACACAGGGCAAAAAATTGTTAAGAGTGAAATCGTTGAAAATTGTGCTCATGAACCAATTTTGAACTCAAAAATCAAATTTGAACTTGACCAAGATCTCATCAATGTACATTATCATATCAAGTTCCATTAAAATCAGTTAAAAACTGTAGTCTCTATTGTGTTCACAAGAAATATTGACGTGTTGACGGACATGGGACCAACGGACATGGGAGATGGCAATAAACATCTACATTTCCATTTTGGCGTATAAAGCCATGCCATTCCCAAAGATTATTGTCCAAAAAGGACAAACTGTAGCTGTGGCATCATTATAACAATGAATCTTAAAGTTCATCGTCGAAATTTGAACCCTCAAATCCATGTGTATCCATAATTATTCACGTTTAAAAGTTAAAAATTTGACTTGAATTTTAGTGAGACTATGCCATATAGAAAACACATATATATAGGAATAGACAGTAAAATTTCTAGTTTGAGGTATAATGGAAGGGATTTTCATGCGTTTTAGTTTTAGTACTTCTTAGATCAGACTATTAAATCACAATAAAGACCCAAATCAATCCCTGAAAATGCTGACTGTTCCCCTTTAATGTGAAGCAGAATCATGCCCTTGTCTTCACTTTGAGAGGCCCAACACAATACAGGCACTCTGACAAAAATTATTTCAATATGCACACTGGCTATGTTCTCCCTCATTTCATGGCACATATTGTGTCTTTGGCTGCCTACAGAAGTACCAGAACAGATAAGATGGAACATAATGGGTCAGCTAGGTTTGGGTGTTTGTTTTTTAAGCCATTTTGATGGCCAAGAATGCAATTTGAATTAAGTGACTTTTTTAGGGTTAGGTAGAGATGGCCTGATATGTTTAATAATGCTCGGTTTTAATAAAAGAAATTACAGACAGGGTCAATTCGGCAAAATACAGACAAAATATGTCAAAATGATGAAACCCTCTGCAGCCTCATTTTTTGAACATTCTCGTGATTGTTAGTTTAAATTCACCTTTTCAGCTTGATCTTCATAATAGCCTTTCATTTTATACATAACAGACGACATTTTTATGTCTTCACCTGTTGAATAATATGGTTTCATGCCATACATTTTTGATAAACTTGATGTAACTGCCTTACAACTTATTGGACACGATGTGATTAAAGGGAGATAATCCAGGAATATTTACGCATGGTCACTTTCGGTGACACCAATCCGACCTTAAGGCAGATCGCCCTTGAGGTGAAACGTTTCAGTGTAACTATAAGACAGTCTTTCCCACAGAACTATAATAATCATAACTATTACAGTTTTATCGTATGTTATGTGAGATGTTATCCACGGGATGCCTCTTAGGCGCTTGTCTGGATCTAATCGGCGCCCTTATGTAGTGGTACTGCACATCAAATTGCCTGAATTTCTCCAGTGGGCCGTCATGGATAGGAAACCCAAAACCGTGACCGACTCAGACTAGAGGTTTTAGCCATTTTAGGACAGTTTCTTTTATTTCGGAGCAATATACTGTCCCATTTACCCCCTCCTTCTAAAATTGGCCTACCAAAGCTTATGGATGGAATAAATAATATTGAGTAACATAAACATTCTGTGTTCATAGCTTCTTTTAAGGGCGATTTGACTACTGTCCGAATTGACCTGCGTCTCATTAATTTCTAAAATGTAACGAGCCATTTCATTGGTTTATATGAGCAGCGCTTCAAAAGTGATGTATGGCACTAAATCACAATAATTCTATCTATTTTTGCCATATTAAAGTTAATCTAAATAAAAATACAAAGTACTGCAATCCTTTTCTACTTAAAAAGTTTAATACCCATGAACTACTTTGCAATATTCAATATTTCGTCTCGTTGCAATCAACCAATCAACTTCTGTTTTACAGTCTTGACCAGATCACTTTGTCTGGCCGAATTTCTGTTGAAATTTGTTATTTCTTTCGTATGGTGTACTATAAATGTCAAAATTTTTACTGGATTGAGGCGCATATCGTAAAGGCAGATATATGTGGACATGGCCACGTAAGAAATTTGCAAGAATAAGATTGACAAGCATCAAAAACCGAAGCACAGCCCGCTTACTACAGGCCATGACAGTCACGTGATCATGAATTACTAAAATGGCGGCTTCCAAAAATTTTCAACATGGAATCTAAAAACACCTAGAAATATGGACTACCTTCAAACTGTATCAATGCAACTATTATTATGGATGATAAAGGTCTGTAAATTACAGAAAAAATCTTGAAAATGTCCACGAGATCAAGGCGGTCAAGGGGTCGGCCACCAAAGACCCCTTTGTCAAATAACCGAACAAACTTTTTGAGAAAACCCAAAGCTTTTACTAGCGCAGCCGCAAGCGAATCAAGTTCAAGATCAAGTACTCCCGCGAGTGGTTCCCCTGCCTCATACTTTAGTAAGGGCAATGGAAGATCGCTTAGAGCAAAGAATAGAGAGACTGGACACAGAATTAGAAATTTCATCAGCCATGGAGGTTTCCTGGAAGAAGATGATGATAGGTCCAATGCATCATTGGCTGATCTTGATCCTGATGCATCAAGTGATGTTACAGGTGACTTAGATGGTGATAACAGTGATGTACCTTTTGATGAACTAGATGATGCAGCTTCAGACATTAGTGAAGAGAGCTTTAGTACTGTCAGTAGTTCTGTGAGTCGTAGAAGATTATTCCACCGATGTCCAAAGACACCAGAGTTACCAGAAGATGTTGAGATTCCAGAGGTGATATTACCTGTCAGCTCGAATGATCTTCTCATACCAAATGAAAATGTTATGTTAGCTGTATCTGTTTTTGAAGTTCTTAGACATTTTAGAGTTATTTTGAGGATTTCACCCTATACATTTGAGACATTTACTGCAGCATTACTATGTGAAGAACAATGTACATTATTAGCAGAAATTCACATTTGTTTGATTAAAGCAATTTTAAGAGAAGAAGAAGCCAATGGAACGACATTTGGTCCACATGATATGAAAGATAGTGTTAACATTGCTCTATATTTAGCTGACGGCATGACATGGCCTGAATCTGTGCGTGCTTATCTTGACAGTGATACCCATCCTGAATACCGAAGTGTTTTACCATATTTAGAAAATAGAGACTTTCCATTTGTTCCCTATGAAGATAAACTACATGTATTAAAGACATTGACAGATCTTTTTCTAACAACCAATAAAGTGAGAGAAGAAATAACAAATGAAGGAAATATAAGATATGATGATCATTGTCGTGCTTGTCATAAGTAAGTCATGGATTATAAATTTATACAAAATATGTGGCTTTAATTACTTTATTTTGAAATGACAGAAATATGAGTTTTTTTTTTTAATTCAATCAATCATTGTGCCCTGTTGTTCTTTGAGATAGGAGATGTTGATTTTGAAGAAATATTTTATTTTTCAGATTGGGAGATTTGTTGTGTTGTGAAACATGTTCAGCTGTTTATCATTTGGCTTGTGTAGATCCACCAATGGAAGAAGTACCAGATGATGACTGGTTGTGTAGTGTTTGTAGAGCACATCAGGTAAATTCAGCATACTCGTCAGCTCATCAGCTTGGAAGAGTTTATTTAAAAAAAAAAAAAGTTGTTTGGATGTGAAAATAAACCAATGCCTGCTTTGCTACAGAGACTGTGTTTCATTATGCCCCAACAGATTTACAATTGGCTAATGCCTGGTCAAATTTCCGTCCTTGTGCACCGCTGTTTTTATTATTCCAATTAGGTGCATTTAAGTAGCAAAAAGTATCGATTAAGGTTTAGGGCAAAACTGTTTTATCAGTATAGATGTTGTGATGACTTCTGATACATTATCTTGAATAATGCTTATTAATGAGTTATAATTTGTAGGTGAAAGGGTTAACTGATTGTATATCAGAAGCTGAGAAGAGTGGGTTACTATGTAGACAAGAACCTATAGGATATGATAGACATGGAAGGAAATACTGGTTTCTTATTAGAAGAATAATTGTGTAAGTATCTTTATCAGAAATTATTAGTTAAGCACTTTATCAGCTAAGATATTTTAAAGTTAAATCACATCTATTTCCTTCTTGTTAAATATGATATATTATTTATATATTATATATCCTTTCAAGAAATGCTTTTCATTTGTCATATTAAAACTATGACTATTAAATGTATAAATTTATATTATAGAGAAGGAACAGAAGAGTGTTGGTATTATAGTTGTAAAGCTCAGTTAGAAGAATTATTACTAACATTAGATAGAGAATTTTGGGAGAAAGATCTAGTATTATCTATAGAAGATATGAAAGAAGATATATTAAAACAGATGAATATAACGGAAGAATTAACCAATGCTTCTAAAGGCAATAAAAAATCGGTTTTAGAAATAGAGACAGGTTTGTAAATTACTGAATTCAAACATCTCTTAGTATTAGTTATTTTAATATTGGAATTAGGGGTTGAAAGCCAAAGCCTGGCCGACTCTTGGAAGCACTGGCCTTGACATCAATAGTTGACCTTGAGGATGATTCATACCATTTCTTAGCAGGTATGATTTATGATGTTTTTGATAATGAAAATTTTGCATACTGACCCTTAAATATATTTGCAATATTTTTTAGAAAATATAGAGAAGCTTAGAAAAGAAAGAGAATTAAAGAAAGAAGAAGAGGAAAAAGCTAAAATAGAAGAAGAAAAGAAAAAAGAGTTAGAAAAAGAAGAAGAAAAGAATAAGGAAGATGAAAGTAAACCTGTGGAAAATCAGGAAGAAAAAATGGATGTTTCAATGGAATCAAAAACTGAAATTGTAAGTTGAGAAACAGTGAAATTTTAGGTGAATCCAAAAGTCATTCCCACTTATATTAATTTGAAAGTTTGTTTACACCCCATTTCAAAAAATACCTCTTGCATGATCTTTAGAAATTGGAGTCTGTCAAAGGTAGCTTTATTCTTGTAACATGGCTAATATTCCTGAAAAGACTTCTAGACTCGCTGATTGTATATTCTGGTTGATAGTTGCATTTGACAAAAAGTGAGAAAACTAAAATTACCTGACAAGCAACTAGATTTTGTCCAAATTAATACCAATCCTTTATTTATCGTAGGAAAACTCATTGAGCCAAGACACTACTACATCAACAACTGCAGCTACTGTGACTAGTACTACAGATTCCGAGGGTAGTAGTGAAACAGTTCAAACTACAGTACTAACAACAACTACTACTCTAACAACATCAGAAACTACTGTAGTTACTCAAACAACATCTATAGCTAATGATTCTAATGGTGGTAGTGAACAAACTAACAATAATAGTGTCGACGAGAAATCCACAGAGAAAAGAATCATCTCTCTCCAGTCCCTACTACCTAATACAGTCAAGGGTACAATGATGAAACGTGATGGACAGGGTAAAACATTGTTACTAGTGAATCGTGAAGGTGGTAAAGTAACGTTATCAGTTGCACCAGCTCAGTCTAAAGGTGATGTGAAGAATGATACATCTGTATCTGTTGTATCTAGTACCACTTCTACCAATTCCTTATTAGGTAAGATACAAAATTTTTTCGTATCATTTTCATGTTTTTAAAGAAAATTTTTTTTTCTTAATTTTAAAGCAAACTTGGCAACATGTTTTTTTTTACTATGTTTGAAGAAAGTCTTTGTCACCATCGGGTCTTTTGTGAGTGGCAAGCCAAACCGATAATTTCTCTTTTCCTTTTCATTTGAAATAAAGAGAAAATTTTCCTTTTACAGAGTCAAGAAAGATGATGACAACAAGATCTAAAACTGGTTCACTAACGCCAAAACTATTCACCGATTCCATTACAACTACCACCAGTTCCTTTAAATCTGCTCTGAGTAAATCTCAGTCTGATGATGTTCTAGTCATAAGTAAAGAAGGAGACATTACTCGTATAGCTAGAAATAAAAACAACTCTTCTTCAGTCTCAGTTACCCAATCACAATATTTTAAACTTGGTGTGTATTTGTTTGCTTTCATTATCTTATCTTTGCTGTTACTCAATTTTTCTGAATTTTTGAATTATTTTGAGGAAAATCTGAGCTCCAAATGTGCTAACTGTAATTGAAACAATGTTCATTCATTTTGCATATTTATTGCTTATGACCAAAACAGTAGTGATTTGATGGAACATGCAGTAACTTATTCCTAAATACCAGGAAAATTAACACTGGCCTGGCAAAATATTTCCTGTTTTCATGCTCTTTTCGATAGCATAATAAGACATCGATAAAAGTGAATATGTGAGAAATGTTACTCAGAAGAAAAAATAATGACCTTAAACAACTTTGTATCAGTGATATGTTTATTTTCAGGAATGGAGGGTAATTATAAAATGTATCAAAACCAGTATTCTACCAATACATTAGCTCTAAATAAACATCAACATAATGAAGACAGAGATAAACGGCGTAGTCTCTCTCATAAATTTAGTCTCACACCATTAGCAGAGTTTAAATGGAATGGTGCTGTACATGGAAATCGTATTTTGACTGTCTCCACATTAAGATTGAGTATCACCCAGTTAGAAAACAACATTCCAACTCCATTTCTACATCCAAATTGGCCAATACATAGAACGAATTGGCAGAAAGCTGTTCATATGTGTCACAATCCACCTGATTTTGGGCTTGCACTAGCTATTCTAGAAGCTTGTATTAAGCCAGTTGTATGTAATCCAGTATGGACCGATCATTTAGGTAAGATACTGTTCTGTTATATAGCTAATCACACTTGATCCAGTTCATCAGTAAATTTCCCGGCTTGCAAGTGTTAATGCCTTTGAGCTTGAAGGTCCATTGTCAGGCTTAAGTTCAAATTAATAAACTTATAAGTTACATTTTTGGGGGTTTATGGATTTAGAATGTGTAAGTTATGAATAATTATATTGACTTATAGTACTTTTGACAGTTAATACTATTTGTCAAGCCGATACTAGACTGACTTGGGTCAAAAATCAAACAGACTACAGTCCAACTGTACCTACTATAATAATAATTCTGTTGATACAATTATATTCAGAGTGGTAAAAATATAATTGTTTTCTTTCTAAATAACAGGTCACAGTAAGCTTCAGAGAATAACATCTGCTGAAAAAGAAGAAATGAAAAAGAAAGAAAAAAGGAGGAATGAAGATGAATTTGATGGCAGAACAGCTATATGGATAAAATACCCTTTGGGCCTGAAACATCAGGTAAGCTACCACAGTTGAAATATTTCAAATCTTGTTTTGGAATAAAGTTTTTCTATTTCTTGGGGTGTTATTATGAACATAGTTAATTACTTATATATCTTTCTGATGAACTCCTCTATTGATTAAATGAGGAGAAATTCTGCACTACAATTATACAGAGATTGGATCTTATATATGACACCAAGTCAACTTTTGAGTATTGAATTGATATAACCTATTACTTGTTATTATTGAAGGTGTGGAAGATGAAGGGAGAAGAATATAGGGTAACAGTTAGTAATGGTTGGCAATGGTTAAGTTCAACTCGTACTTATCAACCATTATCTCAAGATAGTGTTGGTTTACGCTCAGTTGCTTATAAGATCAGACAGCGCAAACTTCGTGAATATAAGGCAGCAAAAATGTTAAAAGCTAAAAATAGAAGCAATATCAAAGCAGAAGTGAAGTCAGAAGAAACTATGGAAGTTGATGGAGAAGGAAGTCTGGAGGTGAAATCCGAAGATAAAATGGAAGTAGCAAAAGGAAGTCCTGAAGTGAAATCTAAAGAAAAAATGGAAGTACAAGAAGGAAGTTTTCAACCTGAAAATCCTGAAGTGAAAACAGAAGATCAAAATGAAATAAAAACAGAAAATAATTCAATTCAAACCGAGTTTGGTGAAACTAAGGAAGAAGTTAAAAATGAACATGATGTGAAAACGGAAACTGAAAATAAAGATGCTGTTGAAAAGGTTGCTAAAGCTAAGAAAGAATGTAGTAATGACTATACATATATTGATGAAGATTTAAAAGAAATGTTAAAAAAGGGTCCTGCCAAAGTTGATGTTGATTTAATAGATGTCAGTCATGCTATGCTACAAAGAACTTATTATCCTAAATATACTAAACCTTACTCTAAACTAGATCTATTGTTAGAGAAACGTCAAAAACAAGAGGAATGGGAATCAAAACAACGGCAAGCTTTGAATCAGCAAATTGCGTGGAAGATTAAAAATGAAAAAGAAAAGGCAGCTCAAAAAACAGACCAATCACCAGCTCAGTCAACATCTGCGTCTGCATCAACAGAGAAAAAGGCACCACAGTTATTTAACATGATAAATGGTGATATCTCTGAGGACAATGTGGATGAAAGTGTTCATCATCATTGTTACTCCTTATTGTGTCGTACAAAAGGAAAAGAATTCTGTTATTCTCCATTGTGTCGATCCTTGTCAAATAAAACTAAGGAGAAATTACATTCTTTAAAACTAATGAAATCCCTAGTGAAACCAGATATAGCAGAAGATGAAGATTCTCAAGAATCAACATCTGCTGCTGCTGGTGGTGGTGCTAGCCATGAAGATGAAGAAATTGATGTTGAAGGAGATAAAGATGGAGAGAAATCTACCAGTGCATCAACTAATCTTATAAATTCCATCAAGGATAGTGCATCAGATAACACAAAAGCTGTAACTACAACTTCTAGCTCTAGTGAAAATACTACAAAGACTACTGTTAGTGCAGTTAATCCCATTGCTACTCCTATTTCATCTACAGCTTTAAGCTTATTGGCCTCTAAAGGTCTCAATATTACTCAGGCTCAACAAGCCCTACAAGCAGCAATAGCTAGAATGACTGTGCAAGAATTGTCCTCTAAACTCCCTCCAATTCGTAAAACTAAAGACAAATTCAAGCTTGCGAGATTCACTAAAATTGGAAAGCGTAAAAATGTGAAAAAAGCAAGTTTACCTGTGTGTCAGAAATATCAAAATGCTCATAAAATGAAAAGCTTGTTTGTTCTCGAGCGAACTGAATTGAGACTTTTAGCAAGGAAATGTGGGTTCCGAGAGGCCTCAGGTTTTAATTATAATTGTAAAATGAATAATGTGTTGTGGCCGTATCCATGTCCTAGGCCATACTTTAAAACAGCATGGCGATATCGCACACAAACTATGAAATCATTGGCAGCAGCTGCTATGCAGTTACGTATAATATGGGCATGTATACGTTGGGATGATATGGCAATAAAACCACCAGCTGGAGGTACTAATACTATCTCTACTGAAACTGAAATTACTACCACTGAATTACTGAAACGTCGAGATGTTGGGCATTTTGGTTTAAGGTCTGAATTTTTAGTGAGAAAGATAGTTGTACCTATTGGAGTAACTAGTCAACCTAAAGGTGAGTTAAGACTTCCTAAATTAGTCAAGATACATTTCAATTTGATAATGTCTCAGTGGATAACTGATGTTCTTAAACATCATATATATAACGCCAGTCATTTAAGTTACTGTCCATCCACAGCATGTAGTTTTTGGAAGATCTTTACATCCTATTCAATTTTGCTTATATTCCGAGAAGTTAAATTGAAAGTATTATTTTGTAGAAAAATATACACCTCAAAGAAGTGGGCTGCGAGAAAGGAAAAGGGCAGAATCTCCCAAATTAACAGAACCAAGTGTCACAGAAACATGGATACCTGAGGAAACACTTGAACTGTGGGAAATAAAACAGTTTGGTGAAAAGTAAGTAGTATGTTTTAGCGTGTGACTAAATAATGACACATAATATGAGAAATGAGGATTATGGTAAAAACATAATATTTCTGTCCACAGCATTTATTCCGGACAAGGGACAAATTCTAATCAAAATTTGAACAATTATTGTTGTTTGTCCATGGTCAAACTTATTGCCATGATATTTCTGGAATTATATATGACTCTAGGCAAAATTTTTCCAATTTAATGTATATGATTTCGGTTTTAGACTAGAAAAACAAAGGGCAGCAAGTCAGGAGAAAATAGTTGTTCAGACACCTTCGCAACAAACAGCAGCACAAATTAAAGAAAGAATGGAGCAACAATTAAAACAACAACGTATAGCATTACAACAGAAACGTTTACTAGAGGCTAATGGTAAAACAGTGACTACAACAACAGCCACAACAACGTCAATAGTAACTCTATCTACTGGTCATAATACTACCGGTACTAAAACACCAATAAAAACTATAACTATGTCACCATCCTCCACTGGTACACCTACAATACGTCATATTGTACAACCTAAAACAATTATAGCCTCAAGTGGTATGCTTGGTATGTATCTTTAACATTGATGGTTGATTAATTTCATTGAAATCTGTTATACTTTAAAATCTTAGTTAGGAACTCATAATCATGCAATGCAGATTTTGAAAATGTAAAATTGTATATTTTATAGGAGGAACCACCATTAGACCTGGTGTTAAACTACAATTACCCAGTTCTACAATTACCCTACGACCTGCATCATCAGGTCTCTCTCTAGCACCTAAACCTGGTTCCATTACTTCTCAAGCTACATCAACTAGTACTCCTGGTATAACTACAGCTAAAATAGTACTACCGTCACAACAAACTGGACAGAGTCCTAAAGGTAAACTTTAATATAATAACCCATTTTGTAATTTGCTATTGTTTGGTGATACTTAATTGATTTAGCATTGAAAAAATATTGTATGAAAGCTTCAGGATTTACTAAAGGTAATACAGGAGATGGAAATGAACAGACCTTATCTTCGATGATTTAAGACATTAGCATTATTGTGATTATATGCTATTGAGATTTCGCTTGTGCCAAGAATTTTTAACGGTTGTTCTACCATAATTAACCCTAATGGTTTGTATTTTGTAGTTGCAATCAGACCACAGGTTGTTGCTCAAGGTAGTCCAGGTCAGGTGCAAAGTTTCCAGATTATCCAGGGACCACAACGTCAATTACAAGTCCGTGGGTTACTGCCAGGTAAGTTATTAGGACATTTATAGAATCATTGTGTCAGATATTTACTTAGCTTTTGATTTAGAAGACAATTCAGTAAGCAGTTCAGAAGTAATACAGTATTACTGAATCATTTCAGGTCAGCAAATTATAAGATTACCAGATGGCAGACTGCAGTTGATATCACTAGCATCATCAGCCACATCAGCAACGTCAGGTACTAGTACATCAACAACATCTTCAGCTTCAACACCAATACAAGTTCGTCAAGGAATAGCGATTAGACCTCAAGGTGTTGTTACTAGTACATCATCAACTGGAACTCCCCAACAGACTCGAATCATACTTCCAACTGGTGCCACTGCTACATCTATAGGATCTGCTGCTACATCACTAGGCATGTCAAGTGGTGCCCAAACTATCACCATACCAAGTAGAACAATTGGAACAAGTTTACTTTCAGGTGGTCAGACTATTTCCAAATCTCCTGTTCTTACTTCGTCTTTAGCAAAGATAATTACAAAGCCAGCTACATCAATACAGCAAATAGCACAACCACAGGTTACAACTGCTCAGATGATATCATCTACAGCTGTGGTTAACTCTCCACAAGTATTGACTGCTACACCATCAAATCCAAACATTATCAAATCACCGTCTCAAACTACACCATTTGTTGTTAAAACTGTTGGTCCTCAAGGCATCAAGACCATTACTTCTCCAACATTAATCAAAGCAATAACTGGTTCTACGGGCATTAGAACTTTTGTCACTTCACCAACCCAACAGCAGCAGCAACAACAAGTTACTCAATTAAAAACTGTTTTATCGCCACCAGGTCTAAGAGGTGCTTCACCAGCACAAGTCATTAAAACTAGTCTTGTCCAACCAACTATCACCACTATACCAACACCGGCCACTGTTTTATCATCATCATCATCATCACCTGCTACTGTTGTTCAGCAACAGCCACCAACTGCCATCCAAGCTCCTGGAATCCATGTATCTACAGTTCCAACACCTATAATTACCTCACCCAGAAGTGTTAGTGGTACTATGTCTGGGACTGGTCTGTCTATAAGCACACCAGCTACACCAACCACTCTATTGCAACCTCCTCGCACACCATTAATACAAACACCGGTATCATCAGCAGCATCAGCTACATCTTTAGCTCCTCAGAAATATGCCATTACTCCACAAGTTTTACAGCAAGGTAAGAATGTATTTTGAATTCATTCATGTCATGTAATTTAATTAATATATAGTTGAATCATTGGAGAAAACAAATCAGATTCATTTGCCTCCTCTTTTTATATTATATTTAATATGCATAGCCAGTAAAACATAGGGTCTCTGTTTGTTGTCTCATCGTATGACTAGATGTTTCTAAAACATGTTTCTTAAAGATTTTTATTATGTAACATATTTTTGTTTACAGTTGTAAGACAAGCATTGATGCAGAATCAAACTCCAGAAATACAATCAAAGTTGTTGGCTATGCAACGTCAAATACAACAGCAACAAGATAAACCCGTGGTAGCAGCTACTTTACCAACAACCATTTCAACACAACAACTCAACAGTTTACAGAATCGTGATCATCAAATACAATCACAATATCAACAGCAGTTAGTGGCCAAACAACAACAGCTACAACAATCACAAGCTTTAGAAATAGCCAGAAGTAGTAAACAAAAAACATTGACTGGTGAAGAAAAAGAAGAACAGACAAGGTATGATAGGGTTGGTTGGATAGATCGAGCTTTTATCTGTTTACATTGATAAGTCATGCAGTAATCACACAAGAACAGTTTATTATTAGAATGTTCCATCAAAAATTCCTGTTTCAAACAATCAAAATTTACAAACTTTTCATTCAGGTCGTTCATCTAGTTTTGTTTGATGTTACGGTGTTTTGATGTGCAAGCTTTAATGTGTTATTTCTGTACAATCATCACAATCTTTGTAAATTTCAACTATGATTGTGTTCTGTGTTTTGTAGAATGTTATCTGTCAGTAACGTCATGAAAAACATGTTAGATAAGATAGAACGGGAAGAGAAAAATGAACAAAAACGACAAAGAAAAATGGAATCTGTGGAAGAAAAACAGAAGAGAATTACAGCTGCCAAACAACAGGGAGCTTTATTAAAGCAAAAAGAGGTACTGAAGAAAGAAATTTTGAGAAAACGTTCTCTTATGGAAAAAAATTTACAACAAGACATTCAGGTAATCCTAGACAAATGGATTGCATTCTCAATATTGCATGTATTGTGTATGTTGTTCTATGGTAACATTGTAGTTAATATTTGGTTTAGGTCCTTATTTAACATCCATTATATTATGAGCCCATTATTAATACATTAATAATACTGAATGATATTACAGAAAACTGACTTGTACTGTGCAAGTTTTTCAATAATAAAGGTTGCTTTTGAAATACATCTGCATGTGTCAAAGACCAGAATGCCAACTTTGTATGTAACATATTTTACCTAATATATGTCAGCCTAATAGAGTTGTAATTATTGGCAATGGTTCTGTTTTTAGTTGGAAGTAGCACAAGTGAAGAAAAAGAAGATCTCTCCATCTAAAGTTTCATCTTCGATAGCACCTCATCAGTTGACATTAGCTAATCAAGTACAAAATAGAACATCAGTACCTTTAGGCGAAACTGATAATAATCAATCCACTTTAACAGCCAAGAAGAAAAAACAGAAACTGATTTCCACTGGTCATTCTAAAGCCTATAATCCTAAAAACAGATTATATTGTCTATGTAAAACTCCCTATGATGATACTAAGTAAGTACCATGTTCAAATAATAATTTTCTATTTTTCATTTCTAAATTGGGTATTGTATGTTGTATTTGATTTTGATAGGATGTGATCTATAGTCTAATAACTGTGATACTTATTTCCAGTTTTATATTGGATGTGATCTAATTACTATTGCTGTTTATTTCAGAATATATATATGATGTGATATAAAGTTATGTTTATTTCAGGTTTTATATTAAATCTGATCTTTGATCTTATAACTGATATGTTTATTTCAGGTTTTATATAGGATCTGATCTTTGATCCTATATAAGTGTGATTTTATTTCAGGTTTTATATTAAATGTGATCTTTGATCTTATAATTGTGATGTTTATTTCAGGTTTTATATAGGTTGTGATTTATGTTCTAATTGGTTCCATGGTTCATGTGTTGGAATAACAGAAGATCAAGCTAATGTTATAGACTCCTATATTTGTCCTGATTGTCGGAAACAGAAAGAAAATACCTCTGAAGAATTATACTGTCTATGTAAAACACCATATGATGAATCTCAGTAGGTTTTTTTTGTTATTTGCATGATGAAGCATGAGACTGTCTACATCTATGTCAATGTCATAGTACATAAAGGTCACTTTGAATGTTCCACTCAATCCATTAGACATGTAATGCCAAAGCCTCGTCTTTGAGTTTAAAGTTTTGATTATGGTTTTGCATAGCTGATTTTGCTTAAAAACTAAATGTTCCAGGTTGAAATTGTATGAGCTTAATCATCCATTGTTATAGAAATAATAGGGTGCATGACTTCCAGTAGAGCTAATGATAATAATTCTTGTATTTGTAGGTTTTATATAGGCTGTGATAGATGTCAAGATTGGTTTCATGGTGCATGTGTAGGTATATCTAAAAATGAGGCAGATCAAGTGGATACCTATTTATGTCCTAATTGTCAACTAAAGGAACAAGCTGATCCTATAGCCAATAGGATTTTAACAGAAAAAGAATATGAATCTATTTACAGATTATTACGTAATTTACAGGTAATTTCAATCTTTAAATCTCCACTTTAATATAACATTTTCAAAATTTAAATTTATCGTTAATTTTTTTGGTTACATTTTTTTATTGTGAATACTTTCTCATGGAAAGTTGATTTGAAAGTAGTCTTATAAATATGATTAGTTAAGACATACCTAAATCGATATGTTAATCACATCATATTTCAACATTAGTGCTGCTTGTAGGAACTTAAATTTGTAATAAAAATTGAGTTCTGTGCGAGCTTATGTGTATCAAATATATTGGAATGTAGGCAATTGATATCACAATGTTTTATTGCAGGGTCATAAAATGGCATGGCCTTTCTTGAGACCTGTTGATCCAAAAACAGTACCAGATTATTATCAAATTATTAAAGATCCAATGGGTAAGTACACTGTTTATTGTTTTATTTACCTATGAACGTTTGCTTATGGAAGCTCTCTTACCAATATCATGATGAGCTTAATGTCAAAACGGCCATTCCCCTTGAAATTCAAATCTTTATTTAATATGAGCACCATTAAAATATTTGTTGGGTTCGACTTGTGCTGTGTATTTAGGTTGGCATCCTTTTTTGTAGAATCAATGAAGCTAATGATGTTCACTGAGCATTTTTATTGGCTCATAGTCTTTTTCTGGTGAAAAGTTTTTAGATATCAGCTTTGTCAAATATACTTTGATATCTTTTCAGATTTATCAATCATAGAAACTAGAGTACATGGCAGAAGTTACCAAAGACTTAGTGATTTTGTTCGTGATGTCACCAAAATATTTGATAACTGTAGATATTACAATCCAACTGGCACAGCATTCTATCAATGTGCTGAAGTTCTGGAAACATTCTTTGTGCAAAAACTGAAAACATTACGTGAAAAATTCTCATAATACATAATTATTATTTACACTTGCGATTAACTCCATTTCATTGCATTCTAATGTTTTCATGACTATTGAACACACAAATCTCACAAAGTTATTTAGTTGATAATACTTTTGTTGCCAATAGCAACTAGCTAACAAATTGGATAGGGCTCACATTAATTTAGTCAAAAAAAAGTTAAAATCTATTTGCATATTGACCAAGACTAAAGCATGAGGTTAAATTTTTATTATCTTTTTTGATTACTCATTTATTGTATATTTTCATTTATGTATTGTAATGCATATGTTTTCTGCTTAGTAATTTATTTATTATATTCAAAGTTATTTTCCTATCAATTTGTTTTGTAGTTTTATTAAATGTTGATAGGTTCCTTGCATTCATTTGTTAATACTGAATGTACAAAATAACTATTTACAAAGTATCTGTAATTTTCTTTGTAAATTTTGACTTGTTTTCTACAATAATAATAATCATGATATGCATAAAATTCATATGATGTCCATCATCTTTTTAAATATACGAAAATATTATCCATTTATGAAACTAATGGATACATAGTTGAGTAGCAATGTATGAAAAATGTGTTATTTAATGTCCAAGATCTGATTTTTGCACAAATCTAGCACACGTAAAAACTCATTGTTAATTTTTTTTTATTTTTCCTTGTAAATAAACTTTTCATTCAATAAATGTAGAATTAAAAATCTTAGTGGGAAAATTTATTGATATTACACTTGGTTTAGTTTTGAAGGCAATGCCAAGAAAAAGGCTTCAGTCATTTTATCAAACTACATAAGAAACCACATAAGAATTTTGTCATGAAACCAAACCATGTTTGTTGTAATAAATTTGTAGTATATTTAACCATAGCTAATTGTTTATTAACCAACCTGTCCTACTCTAGATAGAATGTAAATAAAATGTATTTTATATCTGTATGTTAGATTTGAAGAATAAACTTGACACTATTATTAAGTGGTGTATACATTTTTTTGGTAAAAAGAGAAATAATAAAGGGAATAAAATGTTTATAGAGTTAAATATTTTATGGAATCAAAAATCGTCATTATGAAAACTGACAAACCATTTATAATTTTAACTGTGATAAAACTACAAAGTAAAAGGCAAAGTATCAATGTGTTTACACTGAATAAACGGTGGTCATTGGGTCTAATCTTCATTTGTGTGTGAAATATCTTTCCTCAACCTAGCTGTAAATTGGGCATAGAAGTTTGGCCAAGGACCAGATAGTAGACCCGATCCTTGTGAACCTCAGTAGTTCTCCTTCTTAAAACTTGTTGTTTGGTGTCAAATCTCTGTATCATCAGTTTTCACATCTGCAAAAATTTACTGATCAAGTTCTCTTGTGTTTTCCACTAGAAGTATTTGTATCTGTAGTCATAACTTTCAACATAATAAATACACAACCACCAACAGTCACTAGTAATGTTATAACAGTAACTATTAAACTGTCATCACTGGATCCAACTGGAACTAATATTGTAATATCTTCAATTTTCTAAAAATGAAAATATATATACAATTTTTCACATAATAATTTTGTCAGATCATGGAAATAAGTGTAGTTTCCTACAGGAACAACACATTTAGATGTGAAAATTGTGATGAGTCCTTTAAGGGGTAAAATAACTTCAATTAGACATCAAAGAATTGCATAATGATTCCACTTGTACAAAGAAATGTTTTACTTACATTATGGTTTAGTTTCTTCCAGGTACAGTTGTTGGCTTTAGTATTGTCACATGGCAACTTGATATTCCCTGTTTCTTCAGCTAAAAGATATTTAAAAAAGATTCATTCACAGCATACATGTATACAATTGACAAATTAAAATGCGTTCACTATTTAACTCTCCTTTGCCCTTCAATACCCAGTAAAGTAGGACGTAAAACTTCAATTTTTCATTTTGCCCTCAATACCCATATGCCCACAATCAATGTTTTCAATCAACGGTTAAAAAATTTTGAACAAAATTCTTGCAATAAGTCTTGCTTTATCCTGCAGTGTTCAAATTTAAAGACATCTTGCAAGCATTTTTATCATATCTTGGACTTTTAATAGTGTATGGCTATTGATTATAATTAAAACTTTTTAAGTTTTAGATGTAAAATATTCACCTATTAAATTATAACATGTAGTATATATAACAGGAGACTGTATAATTATCTGTTTATACTGTGAAGTATTAGATGGTCTGTGATATCGTATATGTATTGGTAGTGAAATATTAATAGTAGATGATTTATTATGATAGATATATACTGATAAAGGTAAAGATAAATATTCTGGGGCTTCTATATCTACTTCCTCTTCTAATAAAAACTGCAAAATATAAATAGGAAACTCTTATTACTGTGATATACATTGACATTTCTTAAATTTGTAAATTGTAAGTATGTTGCTGCATACGAAAAATACTTTCAAATTCTTAAAATTCTGACTGGATTTGCAGAGCACCCTTCCCATATTGCAAAAAGAAAAAAAATCATTCTGGCCTATAACAAACCTACTCATTTATAACTTCTGATGTAAGAAGCATTCATTTAGAAAGCCCATTAATTCATAATTTCGTTTTTTACCTGATAACTTGTATTAATTGTGTTAATTTGATAATTATCTACATAAACTCCACTGGGTAAAGTTTCTATTATCACTATCTTACAATCTGTCTCCAATACTTGGTCATCTTCTGTGGACAATAGAATTTCAGTTTCAAGATCTCTGTAATAAAGCAAATTAAATAATACTTTCAAACAGAATTCACAGTGTCAAATGAATCGTAACTATTCAAAATTAACTGAAGAATTGACAAGAACCGTCAGATGTTGGCTAGAAGAAATGAAAAGGCTTCGATTTGCTGGAGCAGAACTAGCCTTAAGCCTTAACTTTGAAATTTGGGTTATTAAACAAAATTTGCTCATCACCTATGAAATCCATCTTTCAAAATATCTCTCGAAACTTGAGAAAAAGTTTCCACATTGCTTATAAAAAATAACGCTATAACTTTTACAATAATATCTAACTCTGGATAAATTTTCATTTTCTTTCATTCGTGTTTTGACAGTTCTGACCATGACACGTGCTTCCGCTGTAAACAAACTGTATTTATATCCAATCAACGACGTGTATTCTCTTCGGTTCTGCGCTGTAAGTAGCTTATTTGTTGATTTCCGGTTAGATATACACCAACTTGAATCTTGAATTTATTAAATTTTTTTATCACAACTAAGTTTCTAATTGAAGAATATTCTAAAATTCTAGAAAATATTGCTTATTGTAAAGATGGGTGGACTGTTTTCATCCAAAAACAAAAAGACATCAAGAGTTACAGAGCAAGATAATGCTGTTCTTGTAAGTTCACCAGTATGAATAGAAATAGAATTTGTGGGTTTTTCCACATAGTCAATTATTGGATTGACACTGACAGTGGCACTGTAGATCATTGAATGTCAAGAGCAATATTGTCAGTGATAATAAAAGAGACGTAGGCAATTGTAATATAAATGTGTAGCTATACATTTGTTGTAATTTTAGTAGACAACATTAGAACTCTTTGTTAGAAATTTGCAATCTCTTATTCCAATATTTAGATAAAGATCCTTGTATTTTGTATTTCTGAATACTACGTTGACTTGTTTTACAGCAATTAAAAATTCAGCGAGATAAGCTAAAACAGTATCAAAAGAAGATTAATGTACAATTAGAAAAAGAAAGATTATTAGCTAGACAGCTGTTAAAAGATGGTAAAAAAGAGTAAGTAGAAAGAAATATAACAATGTTAAGTATATTAACTTATTTGTTTAGACTTTTTAAATCTCCACTCAATACTGATTGACAATATGCATGTGTATTCAACCATAGCCCTATTGTAAGTTTCTTTTCAATAGCTTCAAACTAAGGAAGTTGTAACGTATTTCAGTAAAGCCAAATTATTGTTAAGAAAGAAGAAGTTTCAAGAGGGTATGTTAGTCAAAACAGATGGTCAGCTAGACAATATTGAACAAATGGTAAATATTTCTTCACTCAGATTTAACCTTTATGGATATTTAGTTGAGTATTAATAGTTGTGAATTGTGAACATATTAAACATACTCACAGCTCTTTCAGTGTATAAGTACTATGTGTACTCTTCAAATCAACATTTAAAATCATCACTTTAAAATATGACATTTTTTTGGATTGTACAATTAGAAATAGTTGCAAGGCTTTACTTTTCAGCAAAAGGAAAGATTAAAAAAATTTTAGATTTGAGTTTTATTTTAATATGTTTCATATTGGCTATTATTTCATTTTCAGGTTCATGACATAGAATTTGCTCAAATTGAATCAGAAGTTGTTAAAGGTTTAGAAAATGGAAACAAATCATTGAAGAAAATGCATGAGGTATGTATTGTTGTGATTGAAGTTGATACTTAAAAAATGTTAATTTTCACTCTTTCTTGCATACAACTAGGCTAGTGTAAAGTAGCATTATATATGTTAATAAAGTTATTCATTCCTTATCTTCAGATGATGTCATTAGATGATGTAGAAAAAATAATGGCTGATACTCAAGACAGTATAGAATATCAAAGGGTAAGTCCTTTAAAGTCCATCAGGTAGTGAATTTGACAGAAACAGTATTACTTATTCGCTTAACAAACTTTTATCCATATCTTGTAATGGTGTTGCTTTTTCTATGCACAAATCATATTTCGGAGTAAAATTAAATTTTCAATAGTAAAATAGAGCTCAATACATTGTAGAGCGATTTAGAAATATTGATCAGTTTTGAAACATTCTTGATTTTGAGGAGTTAGTGAACAATTGTTTGTAAATTTATTTTGATAGGAAATAGATGAGTTATTAAGTGGTAGTTTAACACAAGAAGATGAAGATGATGTTTTAGCTGAATTGAATGGAATTATCCAGGTAAAATATATTTATTGAAAATATACATTTTGGGCAATGCTATACTTTGTATATGTATTGTCATCCAAGAGGTTAAAATATCCTGAGGCAAGAAAAAGTATGATTACATCCTTAGCAGTTCTTCTGATAACTGATTTCATTTCTTGAAACCCCTTATTCCTAAACCAATAAGGTGTGATTTGCTACTTTGTTTACTGAATGCAGTCTTGTACATATAATGTTGAATATTTACAGCAAACGTCACAAGAAAATGAAGACATCAATCTACCTGATGTGCCTAAAGATAAATTGCCTGAACCTTCAAAAGGTATTTATATCAGCTCAGTGATATCATTAATATCTTGTGACAACTGGACATTTTAGCTGAGATAGGGATGAGGGTGCAGTCATGAATTCAAAACTCACTTATAGCATAATGTAATTTGAGTCTTTGAGTAACCATAAACTGCTAAAACTGGCTTTTTTCGTCTTCATTAGCCCATAGATATCAAACTTCATTAATTTCATTTCACTAAACTGGCTTTTTGAGATGATAGACTTCTTCACTTTGTTTTGTTTTCTTTTTTTTTGCAGAGAAAACCAAGGTACCAAAAGAAGCTGTTCTTGCTTCATGATATATGTATCAAACACTATGTCATAACTTATTTTATTTATGTACTGAAATTGCACTTTGTGGGCTATGTTGATTTGATTTATAAAGATTAAGGACTATTAACTGAGGTGGTTGTTGTCAAATTCTGGAACTTATTTTGGTTATAGTTATCATCTTAGTTCAAATTTTGATTCCCAATGTTAAGGATATTGTATTATATTGTAGGGTAATTTGTAACATGGCAATATTTATTTTTCAAACATGTGGATAGTGTTGACAAAAAAAAACTTTTCCAGATAAAAATTTATGTTGATACACTCTCATGTCTTTTATATTTGTAAATATGTACAAAACTATTTATCATATTTAAGTCTTGTAAATAGGTCGTGTTTGTTTTTCAAGCTTAACTTCGTTGAAATATCTTTCAGCAAATTATTAGGTCCCTGAACAGAATTTAAGTAGCGGTTATTGGAGAAATATTAACAAATTTATGATAAAGTTTGAAATGTGGCCGTGAGAGAAAATTTAAATCTAGGTTGTTTTGTCAAATCATAGCACTGTAATAGGATAATTGTTTATCTGATATGGATAATACATGTATATACCGTTGCTAAAGGATCATTCTCCAACACATGTATTGCCTGTTTCACTGACATATCTTGTGTATTTTATTGATTTTTTCACTGACATATCTCGACCTTACCCAAAAAGGTTAAAAGCAACATTGATTAAGACAAATTCTCTTTTGTTTGCCATCTTGTCAATATCGAATTGAAAATATTTTGTAATTGAGCTACCTCATAAGTGTGAGGATTTAATTGTTGTCTGGACTAGCAGGTGCCCGATGGGAGGCAACTCTAATGTGATTATAGGTGGCGTTGGTTAATGTTTTATTATGTCTTCTGAGAAGACAGAAGAAACTCCCAATTTGACAGAGGTATCAGATAAAGAAACAAGTGAAGATCATGGTTCGACAGAGAGTCGGGTACAAGAAACAAACTCCACCGATGAAGGAGAAACACATTCACATTCAAAACAAGCTACCAACATTCCTACTTCAAAATTGAAAAGTAGGTCAACTTCTACTTTCGATTGCAGCAGTTATGGATAAATTCTCAACCTCTGAATCTGGTTATTACAGGCATGCCTCTCAAATTAACTAAGATATTCTGCTAATCAATACAAAACATATTTGGAATGTTGCTCGTTACATAGTGACCGACAGTCAACAGCAGGAAAAGAAGCAGCATTTTGTCTTCGAGTCATGAGATACACTATAAAATTTTCTATTGTTTGGTGATAAATATCATTGTGTTTATGTTTCACAGTTGATGTGTTATTAAAACCAGCAGGAGATGCACCCATTATGAAGAAAAAGAAATGGGCTGTAGACCGAAACAAAGCTGTAGGATGGGTCAGTGAATTTATCAAAAGATACCTTAAATTTACTGCAACAGATTCTTTGGTAAGTATTCTTGTCTCAAATAGCAAAACTAATAAACTATTCATCACACAAATTACAACGTATACAAATAACATTACACAATTACTACAGTATGGTATCTAACTATTTGCTCTGTTGGCTGGTGAAACAGCATACTGTTCAAAAGAGAATAATTGAAATTAATGGTATGGTAAATCGTATGCAATAATATTATGCATTGAGATCCTATGACAAAAAGTGAAGATAAGCAATGATATGAAAGATACATTACTATTTCATAGTAGGCCTACATGACATGTAATTCTTTTTTTTTTTTTCAGTTTTTATATGTTAATCAGTCATTTTCACCTTCACCAGATACAGAAATAGGAGTTTTATTTGATGTAAGTAAACCAGAAAGAAATACATAACGGTTTAATATCAAGCTGTATTTGGCATTTATTTTAATATATGGGCTATCCAGAAGTCCTATCCGGTTCACAAACTCAGTTAAAGAGTGGTACAGGTGTCTTTTGATGGTAAAATGACAGTTTAGTATTAGGCTAAATATGTTGTGTTCATAGCACTGTTGACAAGGTTACAGTGAACCCCCATTAGTTAAATTGAATATTTTGGTTTAAGAGCTCTTAAGTGTGTATATATTTTGTGCAGTCTCTATATGCAGTAAAAATTACTCAGCAATAATACTTCGACTAAAATGAACAGATTAAATGATTTACTTAGCCGAATCATTAGAAAATATATAATATGGAAAAGATATATTTTAGCCTAATATTTCTTTTTTCTTTCTTATTGCAGTGTTTTGGAAGTGATGGAAAGCTAGTTCTACATTACTGTAAAACACAAGCCTGGGGATGATAATCATTGGTATTTAGTTCTGTTATTATGTTAATATTGTACATGTGTAAGAATAAACTGTGTTTTTGTTATAAATGTCTTTCATTGATTTTACTATCAGTTCCAAATAATTCTGACATACATATATATTGAATCGAATTTTAAATGCTGCAAATGTCAGTATTGCTTCTATCTATAGTTTTTGGCTATTTTGATTTTTCATTAAGGTTTTAGCTCCCATAGTGTCTCAAGGGATATGTGCCATTTTGGGGGTTTGATTTGAGGCTTGAATATAGGTTAATATCTTCAGAGTACAAGAAATGTAGGAAAATCGCATAATTCCTTCAAAAATATCTCAAACCAGGAAATTCCTATTTCTAAAAATATCTTTTCTATATATGACAGACGGCTCAAATTTTGAGGTGAACTGTGAACATTATTACCGATTGGCTGAAAAATCCACGTTTCTGATTGGTCAAAAATTGGTGCATCTATTCCTTTAAATTAAATTTGACAAATTGGCAATAATGCATGCATGGCTTCACAAATGGTAGAGAAATGCTACAATGAAATGATATTTAGGCAGTTTGCGACAATTATAACAAAGTAATTAAAACATTTTGAAAATTGTATCCAATAACCTATTTATAAAACCAACTCGATGAAAAAATGGGCGTATGGAGACCTTTGACCAAAACTGCTTGTTTCTTGATCAACTAATGGTGTATAGACCTATTGAGACACTTCACCTTGATCAAGAAGGCTTAGATTGTTTGACCAGATTTACATATGATTTTGCTAAATTTTTTATTTACACAAATCTTTTTGGCAAAAATTTTAACCTTTTCATAATTACATTTTTGATCAGAATTGGTTATGTCTGTTTGTTTAGGGGTTTGTTGTAGACAAGACTACAGACAATTTCAAAGTCAGGCATCTTTCCGTTATTCATGCTGCACAAAATAACAAATAAAGAATATATCATAGAGTATGAAAAATAATACAAGATTTAAGATGATAAATAATTTATAGAACTTGGCATTACAATATATACAATTGCTTGATAAAAAATATAAATAAAACACAGATAATGCTGTAAGCTAACAATGACAAAATACTTGGACTTTCAAATGTACGGAGCTTGATAATGGAACTAAGATTGTTATTTTAGATCTATCACAGGTTAATTCATGTATATAAGATATGTGCATATTTCATTTTGGGTATTGTTTCAAAGTGATTCAGATGAGTGATGAATTAAAATTGTGGTAGATTGGTCTTTAAGCTTCTTGGGTGTACGGGAATCTCCAAATTAGAACTGCACCATCTTGACCAACACTGACAATATATTTCTGATTTGGACAGATTTTAGCTTTAGTTATGGTTGAACTGTGTCCAAGTCCAACATGTGAACAGCAACCATCATTGTAACTCCAAACCTGTATAAAGAAAAAATTAAATTAATTAGACACGATCTTAAAAACATTTCGTTTAACTACTTATATGAATATGAAAGCATTACACATTTTATTTGAAATAATCGAATATAACTTGCATTAAACTGCTATTCACTTGGGGAAACTTATAAGGTCAAATTCTAAATTAATATGGCAACATGCGAGTGGTCACCGAATATGAAAATTACCTTCAAGAGTTTCTCTTCACCACCAGTAACAAAATATCTTCCATCGGGAGAGGCATCTATTGAGAGAGTACCGCCAGATTTAGAATCATCAACCTCCCTAATTAGAGAGCCATCAAAAGTTTCCCAGTATGCAATCTTTCTATCAGTACCACAGGTCACCATTTGAGCACCTTCGCAACCATAAATAACTGATTGAAATAATGTATTGGAAAAGACAATCTGACTTCTTACTTTCTTCCTGAAATATAACAGTATAAATTTACAAAGTGCATGATGTCAAAACTATAAACATCTTGTTAATCGTAAAGTTGTATATTTTAGATAATCCAGGTCAATGGCTTATGGGGAAAAAATGTGTAAAGTACAAAAGTTCAACATAGTTCACAGTGAAAACTTACTCTAAATCCCAAATGATGCAAGTTCCATCAGTACTAGCAGAAATACATTCTTTATCATTATCTCTTATCTTGATAGCTGATACTGAGCCTTTATGTTCTTTCATGGCTTCAACTAATACACCTCGTTTAGATACTTTTCCTTTAGCATCCATGCTTTCCTTGACAACCCAGAGTCGAACCTGACCTTCACCTCCACCACTGATAATACCATGTCCATCAGATGTACAGGCAATAGCTGTTACACCTTTATTATGAGCTTCTCCAATGGTCAGACACTCTTTTATATCGTTTGATTTCACAGCAAAGCCATAACCTCTGATTTTCCCATCAGCCCAAGCTACAAATTAACAGTATAAGCAAATTATTCTTGATACAAGAAATAAACACAATTTAAGCAAAATTGCATTCTACTAATATAATTGTACTTCAAATTTAACTCTCATCAAATTTCATCGCAAATAAATGCCTGTGATATTGTGAATCTTTTTTTCTTAAACTGATGATTCCTCGCTCTTTCAATTGAATTAAAACAATAAAGATACCTACCAGAATAAATCATTTTACCATCTCGAGTTATACAAACAGCATTACAAGTTAAATTTGGTACAACAAAACGTTTCAATTCTCGGCCAGTAGATATTTGCCAGATACGAATCTCTTCATATTGACATGTCACTATTAGATCAGATGTTCCACTGAAAATAAGGGGTAATATTTAGAAAACCTTACAGATCTCACATAATTACCAAACACATGAGCATTCTTTACAAATAATTTAACTGTAACAAAACAAGATGTCCTTTTCTTCACCTGATGCAGTAATGAAGACTACCAATGTCATGCAGTGTGCAATGGGGGAATGAGGGAAATTTTACAAGAACAAAGTCATAAGACTACTTTTTAAAAAATTTTAAACTGTTTTTTGATCTCTTGACTTTAGCAAACAAGATCACAATTGAAAGTTAAATTATCAAAATAAATCTTAAAACTTACAATGGGAAGACAACATCATTGACACGTTTAGAATGGCAACTCTTTACCAATTCACATTTAAATTCGGCATAGTTAAATTTGTATATTTGAGAGTTACCACTTCCAACAAAAAACTGAAAAATAAATAACAATTGTTGAAATTTCAAGTTTAAAACTCATTTGTATGTGTTTTTTTCATGTATACTTTAAATTATGTGATTTATGTGACAGAAAAAGCTTGTTACAAGAAATGAGACAAATGAGTAGTAATATAAGCACTTTTTGGAGATCATACTCATTTTTTTTCTTACCTGATGTCCGCCACCTCTTAATGCAATTGATGTTATAGAATTGTTTTTAGTTTTATATAACTCATCTTTCCATGGTCTGAAAGGTTTAAAAGGAAGCTGTTAAAAATATATTTTAAATTCATGATTATCATTTTTGAATTACAGAAAAACTTTGTAGTTTTCATTAAAATTGTTTGAAATGAATCATTACAAAATAATCATCTAAATAGCAAATCTTATGTGAATAAAATTGTTTACAAGATAGTACTGGACTGGTAAAATTTAAACTGTTATATTGTTATATTTGTGAGCCATTACTGAAATCTATAAGTACTTACTTTGTGTCAGTTTTGTGGGTCATTGTAGCTGTAATTTTACCATTTTTAACAAACATTTTGATTCTATATTGGCCAAGTTTTCCTTCTCCTGAACCAATTAAGAATTCAAAAGTTGGTAAACTGATCTTAGTTCCATCACGATTTGTATGTTCTTCAATGTTTGCAATACGTACAAATGACATAGCAGTGACCCCTAAACTGAATTTTTCTTTTTCTGGTACAAAAAATTGGAGCTTTTTTGATTCTCTGTTAATGATTAAGATATCTCCTGTTGTAGTTCCACAGAAGAAATATGGTAAGTCTTGATCGTCAACCATCTGAAATTTGAATAACATTCATTTTATTTTGCAATTTATATTCATCCATGTTTCAATGAATTTGTCAAATTTAGTCTGTTTTGTATTTGAAAACATTTAATTGTCTCAGAAAAAAAAGACAAATTTTAGGCCTGTCACGTCTTGGCTTATTTACAGTGGCGGAGCCAGGGGTGTGGGGGGCAGAGGGGGATAGTCGCAGCCCCGAAAGCAGGTTTTTTGGGCAAAAATCTCATAACTCTGCCACTGCTTATTTAGACCCTTCACATGTGTTTTGTTTTGTTATGAATTTCACAAAAAAGATTTCTTTGATCAAATTAAGCATTGTGTCATGCACAAAGAAATAAGATAAATTACCTCAATACATGTTACTATTCTTTTTAAACCACCTAAATCAACTTCGGATGGTCTTATCTTCCTGTTTTCAGCATCGATCTGCCAAACTCTTAGAGTATTGCTGAAAAAACAAAATTTGTCAGTGTAACTGTTGTCACCATCATTATCATTTCTTACTTACCTGTACCATATTGCATTCTTAGAAACAAAAGCTTGTGCAATCTAATATATTTGTAAGAACAAACAAGACTGGTTATAATGAAAATCAAGCTATTTTAGACCAACCAACAGATCATTCTAACCATGAAATAGGATCGACATCAAGACTTTTTAAAAAATATTTAGATAACAATTGTAAGATGTACTTACTCTCCTCCAGTGACAAATATATCACCTTTGCTATTTGAAGCTTTCACACAATAGGTATTACCAGCACTTTGTATCTGAGCTGGGGATCCACAAATAGCTTGTCCACGTTCTGTATCCCAAACAACGACCCTGAAATAAATTTTTGTAAAATATGTTTTACAGTACATCTTACTTTTTTGCTAATGATTGTGCTATGAAGATGGTCAGTGCCATGTAGTGTACAATGAAGGTAATTTATGCCAAGACAGTAGATTCCGTAAATTGTCCCATCTAAAATATGTTTCAATTTCTATTACAGGATAAGTTTCAACTGTAAATGGCAATTGTATTCAATGATTTATTGTTCAAGTCAGCAAGCATACAATACTTACGATCCATCATCTTGTCCACCTAGAGAAATGAGATATTTCTCATCACATGAAAATGTAAGTGCTTCAACTTTAACTTTATGTAATAACAATTCATGAAGAGGCTGTCTTGTGTTTAAGTCCCACAATATTTTCAAAGCCTAAAAAATTAAAATAAGAGAATGATGAATCAGATGAAGTATGTCAAGCATAATATATAATCAACTTACAAATTTTTCTTTTTTTTTTTTTTGTATCCATTAATCTCTTAATTCTAAAATGCTGTAAGCTTATTCAATGAAATAATGTGGTTTTTATTAGTAGAGGCAACTTGAGATATAAAACACAAACATCCATGATCTAGTAACAGTTGAAATATTTTTTTCTATCTCCAATGGCAATGCTTTCTGTTCTCATTTTTGCATACTTCCACCTATTCTCAAATGCAATTGAAAAGAAATAATGATTTTAATACCTTAAAGCCCATATGAGTTGTCTGACCAGAGGCCAAGTATCTCCCAGATTTAGAAATAGCCAAACATGTCACATTATCTGTATGTTTAGATAAGTTTTGTTGATTTCCATCTTTACTAATATCATCAATAATGATATGACAGCCTAATGGGTAGATTAAATGTTGACGATCTGGGTGCATCTGTAAACCACCGACCACACTTCCTGAAAATAGAAATAGTCTTAAGGTTGAAATGATATTTAATATTTAAGAAAAATATTTAACAGGTCAGTTAACAACTTAAAATTTACATATAAAAGACTTACGGTACAGTTGTACTATAAAAAATCATTAACCAACACAAGGCCAAGACAAAGCCAACCAAAAGCAAGGCTACTCTAGTGAGATTTGGGATTTGAATTAGCCTGGTACAATGGTATTATACAACATTAATTTGTCATGACATGAAAAGAAAGATAGATCTAGATTTTTGAACATGATTTTTGATGATTAATCACATGTACCATAAATGGATATTCCAGGGTTTATTCATAATGCAGACAATTGAGATGGATAGAAGAGGTCAGAAGAGGTCTGAAGAGTGAAGGACTGAGTCTGAGACTGGAGATTAGGCCTGACAAATAATAAGAATCGACGACAGAACTAAAAAAAAAAGAAGAGTTTTTCCAAGATGTTCTGACTAAAAATTCAACTTACCATTGAATCCGATAATAGTTTCTAGTTGAAGACGACAGACGTCCTCATCTACAGTTGGCTGTGTGGTTGACATGATGGGTTTCACAAATCTAATTCAAGGAATAAACGCTGGATCGTCAATAACTAGAGAAATTTATTCATCAACAAGTCTTTGAATATTATGTTGTCATTAGTAACAATCATGGCGACGACGCGAAAAGATATCTCGCGAGATTTCAAATTTACGACAATACGTCAAATCGTCCAGTCAAACAATTTTATTTTGGTCAAATCGTGAAGTTCTGATAAATTCGCCACAAATTCTGGAAATGGTGGGGAATGTATCTTACTTGCTTGAATGACATTGAATTTATAATATCTGAAAAGGGGTTTAAGTAATTCATTTTTAGTTAGTCCGAAACCTTGTTCCAGGCTAGTTCCGACCATAAAGTTATAAATCAAATATTTATAACTCTATGGTTCCGACAGATCTTTTGACGGTAATCGACTTGCGTGATGTCAGAAACAAAAAAAAACAACATAATTTAACGGATGTAGAATGTGTATGTGTATGCCTGCGAAGCCAAGTCCATGAAATGTATACATGTAATACTGGCTATTTCTTTTGGGCCTATCTGCTGAAGGTCTCTTCAAATTAGACTAGTAAGCTCAATCTTATATCTTTGACCTATCTAATTTTAATAAACAATCCGTTTCCGCATAATATAAAAAATATCATAATACAAAATTTTCAATGATTGCATATTGCACAATAATCGTTCAATTCTGGTAAGAGTTAACGGACTTGATTGTGCACGCAAACTGCCAACTGCCAACCGCCAATATTTTGTTTTCATTTTGTTTTCTTTAAAATAAATGATGATGAATGAAGTCACAAGCAGGTTTTTTTCCATGGATAATGCTTTTTTATTTTGCATCATTATATAGGTCTCTATGCTTTTATTATATTGTTTATGTAGAAATGTAAACTTGTAGGTCACGGTCAGAAAATCAGGTTTATTTATGCACGGTTTATTACCCTGTTCCTAAAGATATGTAGGTCAAAAAAGGACAACACGAGGCGGGCACGCTCATATACATTGCATTGTGGGAGAAATTCTAGATGTAAACAGCAGGTACGCGGTAAGTTGTTTTCCTTTAGATGTTCTGCCATTTTTGTGTACAAGCAACCTCGTGATGTCTGCTGTTTCGCAGTCTTCGGATAATGATGCCTATGCCCTTCTGGCATTGAAGTCAGCGCCTGCAAGTCCTGCAAGAATGGGATGGTGTCCAGAACCAAAATTTACTGCCATTGCTCGTTTAGAAGGAAGAGACTTTCAATATTTTATGCGTCAAAACCGCATTTCAATCGGTCGAAACAGCAGCAAAGGAGACGTCGATGTTGATATGGGACATTCTAGCTTTATTTCAAGAGTTCATCTTGAAATTTTCTATGAACAACCTAATTTCTTTATGAAATGTGGTGGTAAAAATGGCGTTTTCATCGATGGAATCTTCCAAGGAAAGGGAGCACCGCCTCTACAATTACCAAAATCGTAAGTTTGTTTTGTTTTGGTGGCATGTGCCGACTCATTGCGCGTGCTCAGAAATTTGCATTGTTTACAAATAAAATTTGATTGTTTTACACAATGTTAGTAATATGCTAATTGCCTTAATATACAGTAGTTCACTATGACCTCGGATATGTAGACAGAAAAAAATTGTAGTTTGACTTGAGCTGTAGCATTGGCAATTTTTAATCGGCATTTACTGTCGTCTCCATGTGGTTTTTTCCAAAATGGCGGCTATGTAAACAATCTTACTGTTTATGATGATCTGTCATTAATGAACCATGACGTGTTTGCCGTGTAAACAAAACATAATCATGATGATATAATTTTACACCTGTCTAATTTGATTAATCATGTTATGGTATACATTGCCTTTGACCATGTCATGACATTTGCCATTTTCTGTCTAGATTATGAATATGATGAGTATGAATGCCCAATAAATGTCATTGACATAGGTGGTGGTCAGTCCATGAATACAAAATATAACATTATCATTAAATACTAGATGTGCTCTTGATGCTGTACTATTATTTCGCTATGTATTTCCAGTTTAATTTTGATTTGATTTGTCTAGTCATTTTGTCTGCATCCAGATGCATACATATTTAGCATTAGTAGACCTATTCCTGCTTCTCAAGCTCGCTTCACATTGAACCCTTTGTCTTATCAGACAATTTACTTTGCTTTTTATTTTTATTTATTAAGATGTGTGCTCAGATTTCCCAGTACAAATATTAAGATAGAATTTCAATCATTGGTTGAAGAAAACCCTCCGACACCTGCTATTATACCCCCACCACCAGTACAAAGTATACCTTCTCCAAAGAAGAAAGTTTTACCTGCTCTTAAAATCAACATACCAGAACCACCACATCCAATTAACAGTCCATGTCTTTCGCCTACTGGAACTATAAGGTAACATTTTCATATATGCTTACTGAATATTAGATACTGTGAACTACTTTAACCTTTCTATATATTTTTTCTTTGATATAGTTATAACTGACATGCAGCTATGATTATATGCTGCCTATCGATAAAAATTGATTATTTTTAGGCCTTGTGCAACTTATGCTAATTTACCAAACCCCAAAAGATAAAGTATTGAGTTAAACTAAGCAATGCTCATTATGGAGTTTCTTGCAATGGATAAAACTAATTTTAAAAAAAAATCAAACAATATATGCCATTGTTATTTTGAAACCTGCAAAAGAGATCAAATTAATTTTGCATAAGAAATATAGACCAATAATAGAAACAAATATTAAGACAAGAAAGTTAAGGGTAGCTACAAAAAAATGTTGTAAATAGTTAGTGATGACAATACAATGTATTAAAGTGGTGATAGATTATTGACACAGACATCAATTAGATGTTTATGTATATTATAGTAATATTGGACAACCATTGACATGCCTCCTGGCTGCTTCAAGATGTAAACTTGTCTCTTACATTTGGTTGAAGATCTCCATATAACGTGTAGCCCTTAGGCTATTATAAGGTTACTTGGACCTTGATGTGTAACTTTATTTTGATATGAGTAAAATTAGGTTATATTTATATCAAGGATACCCATATTCAACTTGTTTGCCTTTGTTTGATAAAAATAGCTTGTATGGTCTCAAATTACATTTTGAATTGCTACAAACCTAAGAAAAGATAAACATCATAAGTTCAAATGTTTAATTTTATATAAGATAAAAAAAAAACCACTAAATTAAATTAAGAAGTTTAAAATTATTTTATCTTTCTTCTTTTTGATGATGGTATTAAGTTAATGGATTATTTCAATGTGATATTTCTAGTTAAAATTTGTAGTTATTCTTGATATATTTTGATTTCAGTGCTGCTAATTCCTGCCCTACAAGTCCAAGAGGAGGAACTGATCCAAGATCATTTGTCCCTGATTTACAAGCAGCAGCTGTTTATGCTGCCAGTCATCCACGCGAAGAAAAAGACACTAGTAGTAATAATCAAATCTTAGGTAGTGATAGTCCTCGAGACGAATCAAAACCGCCCTTTTCATATGCTCAGCTCATTGTTCAAGCTATTACCTCGGCTCCTGATAAGCAGTTAACATTAAGTGGAATTTATGCTTTTATCACCAAGAACTATCCTTATTATAGAACAGCTGATAAAGGATGGCAGGTAATATATTTGTTTCATTGATTTAAATGATGTAAAAAATTAGAATGTGTAAAAATTTGAAATAACTCTTGGATTATGTGATGTTTGCAGGAATCAAAAAAAAAGATAAGATGAAAGATCTAGATAGATTTTTTTCATTTCAGAATTCAATAAGACACAATTTGTCTCTAAATCGATATTTTGTCAAAGTTCCGAGGTCTCAAGAAGAGCCCGGGAAAGGTTCATTTTGGAGAATAGATTCTGCATCAGAAGGAAAACTCACAGCACAAGCATTCAGGCGGCGGAGACAGAGAGGTGTACCATGTTTCCGTACTCCATTTGGTGGATTGTCCACAAGGTAATTCATTATATCATTCGCTTTTTTGCTACATGTTCCATTGTTTTCAGCTTAAACTGTCTTATTTTTATACTTTATTAACTTTAATTAGGCAATAAATAACCAGGAAGTATGCTTAGCAGACTTGGACCTAACTAAACTAGGTTCTGTCTTACATATCTGATCTATTTTAGTATATAATTTGAAATTGACTAATTTAGATCTGCCCCAGTTTCACCAAGTCATATGAGTGGTGCATTTACTCCTGATAGCCTATCCAGAGAAGGTAGTCCTGTACCAGAAACCATGACTGACATGGATCCACCTCAAGTTACTGGTGTTATTTATCAACGTGGTATATCATCTTTACAGTCAGACAGTAGACTAAGTCAATCAGCTCCTGGTTCACCAGCAGGTAAGCATGGTTCTTATTGAGGATATGACAATATGAGATCAGATTTTCAATTGTTCAGGTACCTGGTATTTCATTCTAAAAGGACTGCTTACCTCAATATGATACAGTATGAAACAACTTTGAATTGCAAATGATTTTCATAATTTAAGGATCAAGAGTTTTATCACCTGTTCCTGTAGCAGTTGTTCCAAATAGTAATGCTGCCATGCATCAGATGCCATCAGTTATAACCAAACCAAAAATATTTGTTACTAATGCTGGACAACAAGTGGTGTTGAATGGTCCTATGATATCTGGAGCCACTATTACCAATGGAACTCATTTAGAAATCAAGAAAGAAAACCCTGATCACTCTCAAGGTCAGTCAGTGAATATTTCTACTCTTTAAAAAGTATTCAGATTGTAAAACAGATTGATATGCCATGAATCTAGTTTGCAATGATAATAATCTTAGAAAGGCACTGTAAACATAGAAAATAGGATGTTAATCCTAATGCTCAAGAAAGAACTACACAAAATTGTAGTTTGAAATTGTTTCTTTTTGGTAAATCCATTTTCTATTGTCTACATAGATTTTCAAACGAAATAAAAATAAAATCAATTTTTTGATTAAATGTGTATTATTCATCTTACTGTGCCTCTAATAAAATGGTTTGATTTATTTCAGGTATTGTCAACACAAGTGCTTCACAAAAAGTGGCATCTTTAATGGCTACTGCAAATGCTGGTCAAGGATTGAAGCCTATTACACTTATTCGGACACTAGCTGGTCCAACACAACATGCACCAGGAACTGGACCATCAACAGTCACTCTAGCTACACCAAACTTAGCGTCACAATTGACAGCAACTTCACAATCTAACCTACCAACATCAATGGCAACTCTACAGACGTCTCAGCCCTTCACACTCATTTCTCAGCCATTTCACTTAGTTCAGTCAGCAGCTATACAAAGTGGTGATGGTAAGAAAACTCAGCCACAGATGACCTTGTCAACTTCAACAGCATCTAATGAGAATCATACCGTAATATCTCAACCTGTAGCTACAGCATTACAACAACATCTTTTGGTTAGTTTCATTTGATTTTTTAGTCATGATGCTGGTTGTTCAAGTTGTTGACCGACTGCTTTGTTACTATGAAAAGAGAAACATAGTGTACATTACAACCCAGGAGAAGCATACTTAAGAGTTCTCTAACAATTATTAAATATTTACTAGAATCTGACAATCCATGACATGTGTCAAAACTACTGGCACAACGTCTTTTTATGATTGTTCCAGATAAAGCAGCTGGATCAACCTGACAAATGAGGAAGCCACAATACTGGAGATTTAAATTCACACATATTACCTTAAGCTATAATTTGATTTGTTAAATATTTTGTTTTAAGCAGATGCAGAATGTTGCTAGTCTGGCCAATAAGAGAATACCAGAAGGTGAAAATGGAGATGGTAGTGATGTGAAGAGAGTAAAAACAGAGACTACAGAATCTGGCTGAAAACAATGTAATGGAGTTTGCCGTGTACTACAATTCCTGGCTTATTTTTTTTATTATTGCTTAAAAAGAACAAATAATCTTATCCTTACACTGTTAGTTCTTACCATAGCAAGTATGTCATGTATTTACCTGTAGACCCACTTTATTACTACAGATAATTTCCGTCATTTCATTCTTACTGTTTGGATATATCACTATTTTTCCACCATGGTTAAACCAAATTATTCTTCACCAGTTATTCTAGTTGTATTATGTGTAATACGTGTCAAAAAGAACTGAAAAAACCACTGCCGAAATTCACTTCATTTTATGAAACAAAACCAGTCATTAGATACATTTGCCAAAGAAAATTGCACTTTCCACACATTTTTTGCACACTTTTTCTATTGAACAGCATGAAGGATATATATATATATACTTATATTACCATGTTATAAAATGGTAAAGCTGCTATTGAAATTAAAAGATAAATTTTCATTGCTGATAAAGGTGTATGTTATTTGATGTATTAACCTTCTTAGTGCTGGGAAAAAACTTGAAAATTTGAACACTGTAAATGACAATGTGATATTTTGCGCAGATTTTATCCGGTGTTAATAAAAATAATAATTTGTAAAATCTCTAATTTAAGATCAGAAAAGATATTAATCAATCACAATTATGTTTGCCTCTGAATTATCTTTGCATAATAATATATGTAGAATTTGTTCAAATAAGAATTGTCTATCTACTACCTACACCTTCGAGAATTTTTCTTTTTATATGAATGTGAATAAAAAAAAATAGTTCTACATTTTGCTGTAATGTGTAAATAAATCCTTTACTGATCTTTTTGATGTCATTTCTGAAGAAAACCAAATTCAATCAAAAGAAACTAGTAATATTTGAGGAGATATTCTTGTAATTTTTGTTAAATTAATGGCGATGGATTTCGAATGAAGTCAATTTTAAGAATATTCTGTTATCGATTTTATATCTGGTTATATATTTTTGTTTGTTTGCTTTTAATTTAAGTCTGTTTATTGTGTTGTATATGTTTGTTATCATGAAAATAGAAAAAATTGAATAAATACAAGAAGTTAGTTTATGTCTTGGTAAAAAGAAATAATACACCAGATTCTTCCTTTAGTTCTCTGTCAAATTTTCATCAAATTTGAATATATTTTGAAAAATAAAATTAATCATTGTATATGTTCTGTCCAAGTTTGCTTTGGTGAAATTTATCATTTCAAAAAGGATAGTTAAAGGAAGATGTATGAAATGCCTTGTGTGTTGTAATTTTCTTAACGATGTAACTTGTAAATTTAATGAAAGTGCTATTGTATTTGTTAAAGTTATCATAAATTTTGGAAGTTTTTTTATTATTTAGTCTACTAGGGATATTTTACCTACTTAATAGAGTTGTCAACATGTTTAAGTTCTGTACATAGTTTTCTTATTTGTTGATTATGTGTATAAACATTTAACTTAACGCTTGATATCAGTTTACTGTGAATTGATTACATGATTGAGTTAGAACTACTAGTAATTACATTGTATTTATTTCAAAATCACGTTCTAATTACTACCCATGGAAAACATTTCTATTTGTATTTACAATCTGTGGAAAACATTTCTATTTGTATTTACAATCTGTGGAAAACATTTCTATTTGTATTCTGATATTAATAGTATTTGCTGATTTGAATATATTTGTGGTTCATGTGAATGGGGAAATTCTATTAAAATACGACATCATTTACAAAGTAAATTAATTTTTTATTTCAATATCAGTAATGGCACCGATTGTTATGCCAGAGACGCAATAAACGCTATGAATTTCAGTTCTGATTTGCATTATTATTTCAGTCATTTTTTAAAAATAAATCCTGGATCTCAAAATAGTTTGAAGCATGTTTAGGAAATTTCATTCTTCAAACTTCCAGATCCATTTCCTTTTCAGTCACTTTTACATGTTAAAGTATATATAAATTGATAAATTGTGATATGTAAGAGGTAACAAATCCTAACTGAAAAATGTATTATTACTAACTTATTTAGTCTCAAATCTAATCATCTCTTTCTAAATAAAGTTATTTTATATGTGAGTTTCAAGAAATAATCTGAGAAAGGCTTTTAAGGTCATTGTCCTGAGGAAGTGAGTGTCTGCTCTATTTTTTTTAAGTGGTTACTCTCATTCCAAAAAAAATTGAGTCGGAAATCTAGAAACTATTTTGAAGTATATTGATTATGTGTAATAGAAACCAAGAACGTACAGTATCAAAGTGGCATTAGATTTCTTAGAAGGGGATAAAACTTGAAATATCTATTTCAATAATGAGATAATTAAAACAAATTTTCAAGCTGTTGATGCAATTGGAACCTGAATCCTCTCCATATATAAACTTCATCATGTATAATTTTCATTATATATTCCCATACTTTTTCCATAGTAAAATGAAAGTTCTCTGTGTTAAAACAGAATTTCTTTTTCCCCCCATTTATTCATAAGCACTTAATTAAGCAACTCATTATGGCATGATATTTCATAACAGAAAAAATAAACGTAGTAAAAAATCATTTAAAAATTTATGGTGGTAATTCATCTTTAAAGAACTTTGCAATGGGTATCATTTTTTAATTATAGATTAACTATGTGTGTTATGAAATGATGAAACACATTCTTTTTATACTTATTGGGGAATCAGTTGGTAAAGTATGTTGGTATTGTTGTCCAAAAGATATTAGTTTACACTAGTGCAACTGACCATGCGATAAAGCAGGACATCACTCCAATTTCATTCTTTTAGATCATTTACTTCAAAATTTACAAGAGAAAATATATCTTCTCAAAAGATTATGTTTCAAAAAAAATTTACATTGCTTTAAATAAACTTAGTCTAAACAAATTGAGATTTTTGTAATAAACACTTTCTATTTAGATAATGATATTAGAATTGTCAAGATAAAAGTTATTATTATTAATTTGATTATCAAGATATTGTGTAGATCTATAGTTACATCAATTTTCATTAATTTCAGCTTTTAAATGTAACCATGTAATAATTAGCTATATTCAACTGTTGTCAAATTGTTTTCAAATTATTGTTATCACCCTAGTATAATAAGTTCAAATTATCATTATTATTATTATTTTGTATGTGAT